GCAAACTCAATGGCGGAAATGCTGACTGATAGCACAACTCAATAATTTAAGAGTCTGAATGGCAGAACATGGGAAAAGAGAACCGCCCCAGAGAACCCATCCAACTGGAAAATAGATCCCCAAACGAACAGCCTGTATTTTCGGCTTAATATCTACCTTAAAATTCGTTGAAACTCTTGACTTTGCTGGCCTAATGGATGCCCAAAAATAAATATCAGGAGGCCCCGCCACAGAACTTATCTCCAGCGATTTGGCGCTGTGGAGGAAGATCTTCTATTGGCCAAACACGTCTCTCACCCACGCGGCAAGTCAAAGAGCGAGAAAACACACAGACAGCGCAGACCTTCCCAGGGCATTCCTCAATGGGGTCTCGTGGCCGTGGCCCAGCAGCAGCAGCAGCAACAGCAGCAGCAGCAAATGTGGACACGTTCGATGGGCAAGTGACCTGCAAAGGCACCTCACAGACATAAGTTTGCCGAAACGCAAACGGCGTGTGGCACGTGAAATATTTTTGTAATTTGTGCAGGATGCGATAAAGAAAATGCAATAGCAATTGCAATCCCAATCGCAATTGCCATGACCATAGCTCTAGCTCTAGCTCCAGCTCCAGCTTCTAGCCCATACTATTTCCGTATGGGTGTCTGTATGGATCAGGCCAAGAGTTGACAGCGAAGCAGCAGCAGCAGCAGCAGCCACAGCCACAGCTGCACACCCACAACAGTTCAAAAGGAGGGGAGTGCAGGGGAGTGAAGTGTGGCATGGATGGGAGATTGGAGTGGCTGCCCCTTCGGGCTGTGGCTGTGGCTATTGCTGGGTCTGTAGCTGTAGCTGTGTCTGTGGATTGGGAGACCTCGAACATCACCTGCGCATCGGCGTTGCAGTCGCAGTCTTGGAGCTTGGGTCAAAATTGCTTGTAAGAATTTATTTGCAAGAGTTCTGCGATTGCTACGTCCAGGGTCCACGCATGCAACGGCCAGAGAGTCCCCCCACCCCACTAATTTGTAGCCTGTCCTCGAAGAGACAAAAGGAATTTCTCAAAAAGTGGAAATGTAAATGGAGTTTCGACTGTGGCTCCCTGATCGGGCAATTTAAACAATTATGGAAATCGCAGCTCCAAGTTGCAGCTCCAAGTGGCAGCTGTACTGCTGGCCAATTATCAATGGAATCCCCTGGAACTGCTCGGTTGACAAATCTCTCAAATGGGCAAGTGTACATCCATTTGCTATCCATCTTATCGGTGGAGATTAATAAGCAGTGAGAGCCCAAGTAGCACTCACGATTGACATTGGAGGCGGTTCCCAAAGAGGCGCTCATTAAACATAAACCAGAAGTAGGAGGGGGATGGGGAGGAGGAGGAGCAAAAGCAGAAGGAGACACTAACAACTAATTAACACTTCCAGCTACTTCCACGCCCACCGAACCGGCTAACCGTTTGCCGACTGAATTAATGAACGAATTAAAGTTTGCGTGACGACATGAAGTGAGTCCCGGACGACAACGTCACCAGAGCAGAGCATCGCCACCGAGCAAGAGTCTCAGAGTTGGAGTTGGAGACGGGAGTCGTCGGCGGCGGCGGCGTCGTTGGAGTCACCGTCCCAGTCAGGGGCAATGCTGCTGCTGCTGCTGCTGCTGCTGCTGCTGCTGCTGCTGCTGCTGCTGCTGCTGCTGCTGCCGCTGCCTGTGGAAGTTGAAGGCAAGGAGCAAATGTCGTGCCAAACAAATACCTCAAGAAATCACTGAGGACAGGGAAACAGGGAACAGGTTTTTTGGCGGCAGCTATGCGAAAGATCAGCGAAAATAACTACGAAAATGCAGATGCATCGCTTCGAAGATTGGAATACTCTTAACGGATGCAGGAAATATATTATTCCGGTGAAGAATTCCTAGAGCGACATAAGCACGAAAGAGATTCGAAGCCTTGAGTGCATACAGCAGAACCAATCTATTTGTGAATCTATGGATGCGATGCCATCAATCAGAACTACTGCTGTGATGGGTTCATAGCTGGAAAACCCCAACCCCTGGAATAATTGCTATATCCACACACCCTCTGAATGCAGCCCATGGCTGTATTTTCCCTCCACGTGTTTCCCTTTTGGAAGATGACAAACTCTTTGCCCAAAGATAATACCCTCCCTTTTGTTTGCTGTATTTGTAGAAACACAAACAAATTGGCATAAATGTTTATGATACAGTAAACGGATGAAGACAACGGCAACGGCAACGATACCACGTACATACATACATAGGTACATACATATGAGGATGAGAGGATGATGAAAAAGCCTCGACTGAGACCTCGGTCTAACTTAACCTGTCAGCCAAGTGGAACGTTATACATGCATTATTTTTACTCGTGGATTGCATTGCTTGGCATTGCTTGGCATTGCTTGGCATTCGGCATGGCATTGTCTGTGAATGCAAAGAAAGTGAATTGTGAATTGAATTGCATCTGATCAAAATCCACGCGAAACGGATGTGCAACGGAAATGTGTGGGGGGGGGATGGAAGGGGAGATGTGTGGCAAGCAGCTCTCACTAGAGAGACAAAAACTTTAAGGAGAAACTGTATATAAAATATGAAAAATCAGCCTGCTGGCAGAAGAGCAGTGGGGTGGGCAGGGGACTGGCACGGGAACCCCTCTGACAGATGTAAAAGTGTCGTGTGTCTCTGTGGCTGACATTGATGTATTCGTATTCCCATCAGTCCATCGACAGACGACAATTTGCAATACTCGCAGAACAATGTTGGGAATGGAAGATGGGGAATGGAAGATGGGGAATGGGAGATGGAGATGAAGGTGCGGGTAATGCGTATACGGTTGTCCTGCTATGCTATCTTAGTGTGGAGATCTTCCCTAGGAGGATTGCCTGACAGCCAGCCAGCCAGCCGGAGAGGGATTGGCCTTCCATTTGTCCCACAATTGATTCGCATTCAATTTCTATTCAAATGAATCCCATGCTTCATTTGGGCTTTATTGCTGCACCTACTGGTTGGTTGAGTTGATTGAATCGTTGCATTTGACATGATTTATCCGGGCCAAGACCCAAGCTGCAGCCTATACCTTTTTAGATCCTTGGTGGGCCTTCTTCTGGGGGGCTTAATGGGGAGCTGTGGTGCGTGCAGCAGCCTTGTGCTGGAGTACTTCCATATAATTATTGAATGCATAGCCAACGAGCTCTCAACGCGGACTGGGAGCTTGCTTGAGAACCTAAGTGCGTGGAGGAGGAGCAGTGTGAACCAAGTGCCCTGCAGCTATCGGATGGGTAAGAGTTAATGCTTGTCGAAAGAATCAACGGCTCGCGGACGGCACAACGGGTGGCTTTGGACCCAACTCTGGACCCAGACACGCAATCCGCAAGCAAGAGTTAGGAATAAATTCTAATGAGAAGGGAACTACGAAGTAAAAAGGAAAAACGAATTTCCCATCAACAGCTTCGAAAACCGATCATATACCTCGCTTTTTTGCAAGTTCTTTTGGCTTTTGGGATTCCATTTCAAGTGACAAGAAGTGGCACAGCCATACAAAATATTCTCCTTACATTTCTCAACTTTTTAAATGGACAAAAAAAAAACGCAAAGACACGAAGGCTGCAATGTCTGCAGCTGCCTTTTATGTCCGTCTCGTGCCTCTTATCTTTTTGGGTATGACAAAAGTTGCTACTCAAATCAGGCAAGCGGCAGAGTGCTTCCATCCTCCATCGGTTGCTTCCATCCTACATCAGACACCGCACTCCACCAGCTGCACCGACTCCACCGACTTTGTGGATATTTCAATTCAATCAAAGCGCGGATGGGGGCTAGCGCTACATGTTCATTTGTCATCGGTGGGGGCAGAGGAAGAACGGCAGCCCGGGGGCGCCCAGCGGGCAGCGCCAACACCTTTGGACCCCTAGCCAGACAGGGCACATAAATCCACACTCGAAATGACCCTTCTTCTCCTTTCCTGGGCCTGGGACTGGGTAATTGCGTACTTACCGATCTCTGCCGAACCGTAAGGTGATAACCTGGCTGCACGGATTCCTTTTGTCTCGGATGCCGCTTCGATTGCGTGCTCGAATGGAATCGGGGGATACTTAGATTTATCGTCTCGTTTGAAATCCGCACTTTATTTATGGCAGCCCGGCCACATTTCTCTCTCTCCCTCCCTATGCTATATAATATTATTTATTATTCTATCAAGCATTACACTGTCAGCATCCACAGAATATACGGCGAGATTTTTCAACCGATGGGAGACGCGCACAAACCGCCAGAGCACATGACCACGCGAGCCGACCTCAAGAAACGATCTGCGGATGCGGCTGCGGCTGCGCGGCAACTTGCACTTGTGGGGAGGCCTATCGCTCGCACCGCCACCAGACGGCACACAAAAACCAGTCGCAATGGCACACGTGCCTCGACATCAAGATACCTGGTGAACAGTGATCAGGAGAGGATAGAGCCAGCAGTGAACTAAGAGATATAGAAGGAGAGGGAGAGACAAATGGTACTCTGTCTTTGGATTAATTAAAAGACATAAAAACTCCCCATTTAATACTGCTAAGCTACTCTGGGAGAGATAGAAAAAGCGCACGAGGCAGGGGAGTCCTTAATTCTTATCGAATGAAAAACGAGAAGGAACGTGTGAGTCGCTTCTGGGGACGCGACTCTACTTTTATACCCGTACTCAGCCAGTATATAAATTTTTGGGCTTATGATTTATGTAGAATTTTAAAACATTTTACATTTATTTGCTACATCTGTTATCTACATCTACAAGGGCACTCGCGCACTGAACGAGTGTATTTCGTTTTATTATAAATTTCACCATTGAATACAGTCTTGCTCCACTGTTCTCTAGAATGCAACAAGTTGCAGGTTGGCTTCAAACAAGTTTGAGTTTGATTATATTATGGGTATCCAAGCAGCTGCTTCGATGCCATCCTTTATAGCCGCTGCTGTGCGCATTTTAAGGCATAACATACAAGGGCTTCAATTAAAAAGAAACTGTCAAAAGATTGCATTAAATGAAAGTTTATTTCATATAAATAAGCATTAAATAAAAACCTTTTTACAATCGGCTTATAAAAATCTTCATCAAATACATGTATTATACCTATAGTTTATTTAAACTGTAAGATCCTAATAGCTACACAAAATTATAGGTATCCTACTACATATACAAATTCTCGTATATATAATCCTCTAAAGTACAACTTTTAGATCTTAATGAATACACACAATTCCTGATAGTTATACAAACTCTCGTAATCCACCAAAATATAACCTTTCGATCTTAATAACTACCAAAGTATAGGACTTATTCCTCGGGTCGCGTTTCGCTATAGAAGCCCAGATTCATTGTGGGAATCATGTTGCTGTAGAAGTTGAGCTCGGCGGCTGTAGGACGCATCTGTAGCGGCACCTGGGGCACTGGTGGCATTTTGGCCACCGCTGTCGGTTCGACCATTTTGTGGGGCACTGTTGCTGCCGCAATCATGGCCTGCTGGGTGCTCTGGGCCACCTTGTGCTGCAGCTGATGCACCTTTAGGTGGTTCTCCAGCTCAATCTGCTGCAAAAAGGTAATGCAGCAAATTGCGCACGTGTATGTTGGACCGTGTGCCTCCAGTGTGTGACGCTGCAGTTGCTCGCGACGATTGAAGACCAAATTGCATATCTTGCATGCCAGTAGCGTGTCCAAATGAAGCGCCCGATGGCGCTGAAGATCGCGCTCCCGTTGAAAGACCCTGTCGCAGACGTCGCATCGGAAGCTGCGTCCTGGCTTCTGCGGGGTGATTGGCTTCGGCTTCAACTGTTGCGTCAGCTCGTGCTGTAGCTGCGCCAGCTCCTCCGGTGTCGGGGGATGCAGAGCGTTTTGTTGCTGCTGCTGCAGTATCTGCTCAACATCGCGCTTAGTGTGCATATGCTGATGGGCAACCAGTTTGTCCTTGCGCGAGGAGGAAAACGGACAGCGGTTGCACTGGAAGGGTCTGGCACCGGTATGCAAGCGCGAGTGGTTCGTCATCTCCTGAGCGGTCTGGAAGGAGCGTGGACATTGCTGGCACACGAAGGGCTTCTCTCCGCTGTGAATGCGCATGTGCTTCGTGAGATTGGTGTTTCGGGAGAAGCTCTTTGTGCAGACATTGCAGGTGTAGGGCCGCACGCCCGTATGGACGATGGCGTGCTTCTTGAGGTCGGAGCGGCGTACAAATCCCTTCCTGCACTGGGCACACACATAGGGACGATCCATATCGTGGTGCAATTTGATGTGGGCAATCAAATTGGCGCGCGTGATGAAAAGCAAACTGCAAAACGTGCAACAGTACGGAGCATGGGGGTCATGTGCCGTTCGCTCATGTTGCTGGCATTCGGATGGAAGGGTGTAGCCCAAGTCGCAGTACTGACACAGAAAAGCGGTCTTGGGACGAGCGCCTCCAGAGTTGGCCACAACACTGGGCTGCTCCAGCTCCATTTGCACCGCCATTTTGGCCATTTGAGCCGCATCCGTGCCCAGAGGCATGTCGGCATCGTCTGCATTCGTTGTGTCTGCTTCATCCTCCTCAAAGTCCTCGAACTCCTCCTCTTCCTCCTCGTCCTCTGCGTTGTCATTCTCTTCATCGGAGCCCATCTCATCATCGCTCGTCTCCGCCACCTTATCCGGATCCACTACCTCGATTTCGCAATCATCTCCGGCCTCAAATTCGCCAGGATTTCCGTTCAAACCGGGCCGGTACTTGGGATCCTTTTTAATGATCTCCTTCAGCTGCTCCTGCAAGGCAGCTTCCCGCTGCTTCATTCCCCGCCGTTGCTTATAGAAATCCTCCAGCACTTCCAGGCAATCGGAGCAAATCTGTTCCGGCAAATACTCGTGTCGATCGTACTGCAAGGGTAAACATCGCATTGGGCAAACAGCTCTGCTTTAAAACCCCACAATTGCCACTTACCTGCACTCCCCACACGCTCTGGCAGACATCGGCAATGCAGAATTTGTCGCCATCCCAGAAACCCTCGCGATCGGTGAAAATGTTTGGCGTGGTTTCGGTCGATGCCGGCCGATGGCACAGTCGGCACGAGCTGGCACTGCTTGGCGTCTCCTTTGGCGGGGCCTGTGGAGCCTCAATCTGTGTAATATACATTTTAACGCAACTGCACAGATTATGCCTTGTATTTGCCGAATTTTAAGCAAAAAATTTTCGCATTTATTGTTGCGGGTGGAGGTGAGCAGTGTGACCGAAGATTAAATATTTTAAAATCCGAAAAATATACCCAAATATAGCTTCTCTTTTACATAATATACCGAAAATATACCAAGGAAAATCATATTCATCAATTTTGATATTTGATTTAATATTACTAGCTAGTTAGGAATTTAATAACTGGAAATATAATTTTATCAGATAGATGAATCAATTTTCTACAATCTGGCTTATTTTAAGGACTCCCATTTATTAGATTACTAAGAAGATACGCTTTGAACAAAAGTCAGCCAAAATTGGTTTCGTGGTATTTCGCCACAAGTGGCAATCAATAGTCCACTCACCAGATGGCGCCAGTTGTACTATCGCGTATATGTCAATTCTTTTATCGGAAAATCGCATAAATATATACGTTCAAATCTATCATATTTTAACTATTAAAAAAAGAATATAATCTTTTTATCCACATACGCTACCGCGATGAATAGCAACATGTGGCAATCGATAGTCCCACTCGATTGAGATCGAATACCATGAGAGATGAGCGCCAGTTTGACTATCGCCAATTTGTGAATTGAACACGCTCGGATTTCCATAATTCGCGCAATTTTTTAACACACTGCCTAAAACAACTGCCAGTGTAACTTTTAGTTACTGTAACAGTTTGAGTCATAAAAAAACTCCTGTTCTGGAGGCGGACCTCAATGATGAGCGCGATAGAACAAAAGCAGCAGCAGCAACAAGAAACGGGAAAAAGCTCATTCACATTCAACTTTTGTCTGAAACGGTACGCTTAAACCGAGAGTGGTCTCGGTCCCTGTCACACCACCCCACCCGTTGGCGGCGCAATAGTACGGATATTGGTGGTGCCCGCAATTCCTCGAATTCCTTTGTTATCCATCCTCGCGTCTAACAAGTTGTTGTTTGTGTTAGTTCAGTGCGTTTACGCTGGTACAGTGTATGACACATGACCTGATGCTGCAGAAGCAGACGCCCGTCCGCTTGATTTACAAACACACGTGCAAAAATTAATATACGTCGGTATAACTGTAACTCCCACGCCGGCAAAGCAGAGCAAAGCAACAATTTTCCATCAAGTTCTCTGTAAGTGAAAGTAACTGTTTCGTGAGTTTGTACTATTTAAGCTTTACTTTAGTTGTTCTCTCTGTGTGCGTCGCCCGTTCTCCTTCCCTCTCCCAAGTTTGAGTTCAATTGCCTTTCTACGCACATTTTGTCTTTATTATGCACCCCTCCTTCTGCTACACTGCTTCCCATGCGGTGTGCTGTGATGCGACTAAATTTTGTGGCCGAAGCTTTTGATGCGCTTACAAGTGAATTGTTCTTATGTTATGCATATAATAGAGTAATCCGATCTTTGCGGATCCAGCTTTAACTCTTTGAATAAAGATAGGTGAAGGTTCCCAAAGCCAAGGTTCCAAAATTTGAATGGAAATACTTCCGTCTCTGCGTTGCAAACCTGATAGCAAAGTAAAAATACTCGCTTTTTTTATCAGTGGAAAAACAACAGCAACCCTGTGTACATTTATTGCGTCTCTTGTGGCGTGTGTTTCTCCCTCTGTCGCTTGTCCTTCGCTGACATCCTTTGTGCTTTGCTCTGCTAACCTATCTACGGTTTTGCCCTTTCCCGTTCTTCTTGTTTTTGAACTTTGTTCCCTCTTGATTTTACTCTATAAGTAGAGTTTTCATGGATATGCGTGGGGGTGGTTGTGTTGCGTGTAAAAAGTAATGATTTTGGATGCATTAATAATTTACTTGACCGAATTTACTTTGAAAAACAACTTAAATTGGAAAGTAACAGCAGGTACAGTAAAAGAAATTTGTGTAGTCACACTTTTTATTCAGGAATGACTCATACATGAAGGGAATTAATTATACTGCACATCGTTATGGTCCCTCAGGTACTGTCCCTGTCCCATAGCTTTAATTAGGGATTCCATTAGTTTTACTATGCACATATAAAAGGTAACCTTCAGAGTGCAAAGCTCTCTATACTAATTAACACTCTTGTTTATCTATCAATATGGCTGTTTACCCCTAAAACGAATTGCCAGGATATTATATTGGAAGCCCATGCACACAAGTTGCAAACAAGTTACATAGACATGTACATAAATACATATGTATGTATGTATGGGTGTGCATTTGTAAACATAAAATATTAGATTCAAGCAAAAGTTAAACGGTGGCGAATAAAGCTCTAAACATTCCATTGAACTATTAATTATAGCACACTGATGTGTAATCATTCGTTCAGAAAGTGACCGATCAGCAGATCCGCCGTGCAATGTGACTCAATCATGAGGCTGGGTCTAGTTTTACCGTCTCGTAGTCTGTCGTAGATTGCTTGTTGACTTTGAACTTGACTCCGTCGTAGTCCCGTAAATTGGTTGGCAAATTGGAGGCTGCAGGGAGGTGCACGCCGCATCCCCACGCCTGTCAGATTGTCACATGCGTGCGATCATATGTTTTACGAGTAGTAATAATAGTTCTGATTGCCAGGGAATATTCTATTGCTTGTGGCATAATACTAGCCCCCCGAATCATGCCATAATCTTATCAGCGAAGCGAAGCTTATGCTCGCTGAATGAATCGCTTGCGGGTGTGTTATTTAAAAAGCTTCGTTGCGATTGCCGCAAAAGATAACAAGAGCCGGCTCCAAACACCCCTCCTATAGTAATGGTATAGAAAGTGTGTAAACAAAAAGACCAAAGGGGAAAATGGCTAGTTTGGTGGGACCGACGCTTTGCATACTCTGCCTGGGAGAGGTACAACACATATTGTTACTCTGCGTTGGGAAGACTGTTCGACAGCCTGTACATCCTATGCAAAATCGTAATATATTGGACTACCCTCTGAAAGAGTAGTCACAAAAAAACAAATCAGCTGTACTGCGTGACCTAGCACATTTGAAACATAAAATATTTGCTTAAAGATCGCTAAGTAGTTTGTCAGCAATGTAAATATCACTTTGAAATTGACAGACTCTTAAACGATGAACTGTTTGTGCTCTCGTTTAAAAAATGCAGCTCTTCAAAAGGGAACCAAAATAATGAATACCTAGATTGAAAACTGAATATTTTTACCAAGAATTTGTATAGGCAGGCAGCTGTTTTTCCAGCTTTCTAGCGAACCATTACCACAACCAACATGAGAGCGTTCTTATCAAATATCATAAACATTTAGCAGACACATTTACTTGCACAAATGGGGGTCATAAAGGAAGAAAAAAAGAGAGAAATAAAGCCCACACAAGAATCAATCAAAGACCAAACCAAACCAAATTATATCTGATTGCTTTTTGGTACAAAAATATCCACTCATTCAACGCTCTATTAGACCGCAAAAGGTCGACGCATGTTTCAACAGTTTGTTCTGTTCAGGCCAAAAGATGTATCTGTAACGATAATTGTCATAATGGAAATTGGCGGCACTAGAAGTTGTACCATGCCATGAATAATTAACTAGAAAAACAACGTTTAGCTAAAGAAAAATTATTATTTATGAGCTTCAAGAGCCCGGCCCCCAAAGGAACACTTGTTTCTTGGCTGGGGGGGAATTTTTTATTTACCACAGCTTAATCTGAAGTGGATTTACAATTTGAAGTGCCGATTGTGCCTCTACAGTACTCTCTACAAACAAGTGCCCCAAAAGTTAATGGCATTGACCAGTTGACCATGTCGTCCAGAGATGATAGGCTAAATGTTATTTAACTACAAGATAATTACTCGCTTTATACTCTGTCGCATAGATATATCTTTAAGGACATGTGACAGCAATTAACATTAAACCTCTAATTTTGGGGATAATTTGGCTGGAATTCCCTTAAAGCCTAATATTTAATTTGTTGTCCCTACCTGAAAGGCGTGTCCAGCCGAACCCATAAGTTGTTTATTGCAGAAATGTAATCTTATAATTATAGAAATCATAACTAAATAAATATCATCTCCTGTCCGATAAAGATTATGTTGCCAACTCAAAAAAATAATAGCAATAAGAGCAAGATTCTTTAAAACAATCTCATGGGTACTTCAAATAGATTCTACTCGTATTGTGTTCTGATCTTTCCAATCAAAAGTCCATAGTAGAATAGAGCCAATGATAAAGCTAATAGATTACCTTGGCTGTGGAGTGGCGTTACTACGTACAACATCAAATAAAATGTGTCAGCGGAATATCAAAGTTCACTGCCTGCCTTAATCCAAACAAGAGCGATTGGAAATATTTTTTCTTTTTTGTTTTTTGATAAGCCGTTTTGCCATTTTTAGTATTGAAACCCGCGCGCACCTTAGAGGCGGTGCTTTTCAGTTGTGTTTGTCCCATCGGCGGCATCGGACGTGTTCCGGTCTAATTAAGGGCTCGAATAAAGGTTTGTTTACATCGTAAATTTGTACAGCAACCAACTAGCACAACTGTCAACAAATCAAAAAGGGTTCCACCAGTCTATCAAATTACATAATCTGCTACTAGGGGGCCCCCAATCTTATCTGGTAGTACAAAACGGGGTACTTGCACGATAAATGAATAATCTTCATGAAAATTCATGACCGACCCAAATAAGACAGTATGCAAATGATTGCAAATTGAATAATTATCTGGAATTATACAATTGCAATTGCAAATCAAGTAATCTCCATTTAACTGCAGTTTTGTGTGCACAATTGCTCCGATCGGCAGTTGCAATTGAAAAGCGAAAGATATGGTAGAATTTGTACAGCAATATTTATGATCTTTGATTGGTAGATATACTAAACATATGTACGCGTATGTGTTTGGCAGATTATATAAATTTCATCATATATATCACTGAACAAAATTTCAAGTAACTAATTTTTAGAAATAAATTCAAGTGATGAGGGCTTACAATTAGATGAAATCTTTGGTCTAAAATATTATCTTTATCTGCATATTAAATATGAGTTTGATTGCTTTTCACTATTTCCAGGGTATCTCCACATACTTAAAAATGGCCTGCACATGCGAAGTAATTGGCCTGGCCTGCGTGGTGGCTCTAATCCTTAGTGTTTCGGCCAAGGCCCCCTACCAGATGCGCATGTTCTTCATATTCTTTGGCGCTGGCGCCATTGTGACGCTCTGCGTGCCCTTTATGATTCTACGACCACGGGACTACCGAAATGCGCTGTAAGTTTGACCAATCAAGAATCTTTGTTCCCAATCTAATTTCCCATCTCTTTCTGCTTCTAGGGTGCCCTCTTGGTGCTTCCGACAACTCTGCAAGCTGATGGGCATCACCATGGAGGTGCGGGGATTGGAGAATGTGCGAGCCGGACACGGCAGTGTGGTGCTCATGAACCATCAGAGCGCCCTGGATCTCTGTGTGCTGGGCTATCTGTGGCCGGTGATCGGACGAGCCACGGTTGTGGCCAAGAAGGAGATTCTTTACCTACCATTCTTCGGCCTTGGTGCCTGGCTCTGGGGCACTCTGTACATCAATCGTTCCCGCAAGACGGACTCGATCAATTCCCTGCAAAAGGAGGCAAAGGCGATACAGGATCGCAACTGCAAGCTGCTGCTCTTCCCGGAGGGCACACGCAACTCCAAGGATACACTGCTGCCGTTCAAGAAGGGTTCATTTCACATTGCGCTGCAGAGCAACTGTCCCATTCAGCCGGTGGTCATCTCAAAGTACGCCTTCATGGACGACGAGAAGAAGACCTTCCGTCCGGGCCACGCCCTGATTCATATCCTGCCCGAGATATCGACCGAAAAGTACAAAAAGGATGATATGCAGCAACTCATCGATGACTGCCGCTCCATCATGCAGTCGGAGTACACAAAGCTGAGTAAAGAAGGCCTAGCCTTGAGCTCGAAGAAGCAATCATAGGACTGGATAGAATATTATTACACTCAGGTTACTAACTATTGCCCAAAAACAGAATCAAAAGCAGCAAACACGGATATATAGGGTTATTTGATTAATTTGCTTAGCGTTAAGTTATATAATAAATATTTTTCGCGTGTATTTTCGATCAATATTAACTGTTTTACCTCTTATACATGCATGTGTTCGAGAGCTTTTTTTGACCAAAAGAAACAACAAAATGATACAAACCACCCACCAAAGGAAATTTTTAAAACAATAAAAAAAGCACACATTTCTTTGATGTTAAACATGAGAGTTTTATATTGGGGATTGGCGGGGTCGATCGGACGATAACTGCAGGTTCCAATTGGAAATGGCATGAAAAGCTGGTCAGAATTATTAAATAACTACTGCATACTTTCAGGGGATGCTTTATTAAAAAAGTATAGCATACTTCTGGGCTGGCCTATTAGGCCTATCTATAGCAAAATATCGTAAAAAGGCCTTTCCTTGCAATCCTTAAGGTCCTTGATGGACGCAAAGGATTCAAGATAATCCCTCCGCTCACAAGGAGACCCACTACGACTGGATCGGATGACAAATGGCGGAGTTATACATATTATATCCTTGAACTTTGATGTCCTTGAAGCCAAACTGACTGAAAACGATCGGGGAAATTCGCCTAATCACGAAAAGGCGAGGCACGCCCAGATCAGTCAGCAAATGTCAGAGTTATATGAATTTTTACATATCTATAACAAAATTGCGCGTAGAAGGCGTATCCTTGCAGTCCTGAGGTCCTTGATGGATTCAAAGAATAGGGTAGACCTTTCCACTCAGGAGGACATGCATGACGTCAAGATCGGACGAGAAATGGCGGAGTTATAGCAATTTAATCCTTGATCCTTAATGTCCTTGATACCAAACTGATTGCATGCGATTGGGGAGATTGTCCTGATCACGAAAAGGTGTGGCCAACCCAAATCGGCCGACCAGTAGCCGAGATATAGCGTCACAAAAAAAATACTGGTTTTTTCTTCCTGACGCTATATCTCGGCCAAATAGCGGCAGATCCTTGAAGGACCTACTTTTTCAGGATCGTGAGGATCCACACTGTCGATCGGTATCCAAAAAAACGACATCGGAGGAATACTGGTTTTCGCAAAAATCATGATCATCATCCCTTTTGCGAAAACCAGTATTTGCCGAATGTCCTTTTTTTTTATGCCTACCGATGGAATTGACTCTCCTGATTACAACAAGACATGCCACGCCCAGATCTGCCCCTATTTGGCGGAGATATAGCTTGATTTAAAAAAACCAGTATTTTAAATTTTTGGCAGCCAAAACTTTGTAACGCCATATCTCGGCCAAATGAGCTCTGATCGGGGCAGGACCTACTTTTTCAGGATCGGTAGGATCCCAACTGTCCATCGGCTATAATTTTTCCCCGATCAGAAGAAGGCGTGGCCCGCCCTGATCAAACTAAAAATAACGATGGTATAAAGGATTCCAAGGCAATATCCTTGTTGTCCTTGATGTCAAACGATAGGGGACTTCCTCCCGATCTCGTGGAGGTGTGACACGCCCATATCGGACAGGAAATGGTAGAGTTAGACGCATTTTAAAAAACGCTAAACATGTTGGTTGCACTGTGGCGCCCCCATGCTCAGCGACGGCCAACGCTGGAACTAAGTTAGGTTAGTTCGAGAAATTGCCGTTTAACGTGGGGGCGCCACTGTGCAACAAAATTGTACCAATAGCTTTTTTGCTGTATCCTTTATTTGCGGCCCGATCGGGACGTGTGACGGCTTCCTGTAATCAGGGGAATATCCTTGACTTTATGGAGTCCTTGCCAAGGATCAAGGACATCAAGGATCAGAAATTTCAACTTTCTCCGCTATTCGCCATGGCAACATCCCCGATGGAGTCCTTACCAAGGATCAAAACTCAAAGATATATATTCAACTTTTTTATTCATCATAACTTAACTTAGTATAAATTAATAAATGTATAGACGCGTATATCCTTAAACCTAACAACAAGGAGATCTATCTAGAGTCTAGTAGTCCGCGTAGCCCCTGCCTTGGTTGCCATAGCCAAAGTCCTTGAGGTAGTTGTCGATGGCCAGGTCGAAGGAGGATGACGGCTTGTTGGGCTCAGGCTCTTGCAGGGGATGCGCCTCTGTCCGGCTGGGATACGATTCTGTCTGGCTGGGATAGGACTCCGTCTGTCTCGAATACGCCTCGGTGATGCTTGGATAGGACTCCGTCTGGCTGGGGGGAATCGGATAGGCCTCGGTGTGTGGCAAATTGTAGGCCGTGTGCTCCTCGACAATGGGGTAGGATGTGGTTCTGTCATAGATGGTGGATGGTGGCGGTGTGGCCACGGCTATCTTCTCCTCATAGGGCGTCTTTGCCTTGGCCACTGCCACTCCGGATGATGTGGCCACTGCTGAGGCGGATACCTTGAGGCTTGGGTAATGGTTCGACGCCGGCTCAACCCTGCTCACAAGGGGAATGGAAGGAACCTCGGATTGCTGCTTGTAGACTGGAGAGTAGTAGACAGTGGGCGGCGCTGGCTGGAGCTGTGCTCGTGGCTGAGGTCTGGGCGGTGGTGGGGCTGGGTATTCCTTCTTGCTGCCGTAGGCTGTGCTCAGAAGCTGAGCAAGCTCCTCCAGTGTGTAATTGGGAGCATTAATGTTGCTCGCCGCTGGCGAGGAGGCGGCAGCAGCCTGTTCGCTGTAGACCAGAGGATACGGCTTATAGGACTTGGGACCGTCCACTGGGCCGACCAGTCCTGCATAGCCTGCTCCTCCTCCGTACTTGGGGAAATACTTGCGCTGATGCACATGCGTGTACTCTATCTGGCCGCCCGGCGCGTAGTCTCCGGTGGATGAGATCTGGGTTAACTGCTGTTTGGGCCCAGAAATGGCCACCTTGCGGCAGAACTCTTTGCAGCCGAGCTTGCACTCGCAGTAGCACTTCTTGTAGGCTGTCGGCTGCGTGGTAATCTCCTCCGCAGATGTACTGGTTGTGGTCGGGACTTCCGTGGTGCTGGCGACGGTTGTGCTGGTTATAGGAGGTCTGGTTGTCGTCTGAGAGCCTGGCAGCGGCGTGGTTGGGCTTGCAGTAGTGGGCACATGACTGCACGGCACCTGCTCCCACACCTCCTGCTCACACTCTGCACAATACTCCGGGAAGTGGGCGTGGGCCAGACCCGAGGCGCACAACAGCACCGCAAATAGCAAACTGCAGCGTCCGTACATCTGAAACGGAAAATGGAAGCGGGGCAGTGTTATAGGAGGGGGGCGCTTAATGGGTCAGACCGAGCGTTCGAGCGTTCCCAATTGATCGCTCCAGAATTGATTCTTACCTTTCAGCAGTATTTATCACCCCCGCTTGCTCTCGCTCTCGTTCCGTCTGTCACTGACTCTGACTCTGACTCGTAGAATGTCTGTCCCGGATCGGTGTTGGGTTCGCTTGGCACTTGTTGGCTGCTTGTCGGTCGCGTGCGTAATTCTTTAATGCAATTTGCTGAATAGCTCTTAAATACGCTTCGCTGGCCCGAGACTAGATCGGCGACCTGAGCTGCGGCTGCTTCTGCTTCTTCTTCTTCTTCTTCATTGGAAGCCACTATTACAACGCCATGCAAATGGGTCGCGGAAGCGTTGATCGCATCACGTTCCAAACGCTTGACGGATCGGAACCGTTGGGTGGGGGGGGGCAACTGACGGACCAGTCCACATATCGACATTATCAGTGGTCGCTGCTTCCGTAATAAACATTCAAGCATTTCTGCCCGCGCTCGTCGATAGCACAAAGTGGTCTCAGCATTCCAAGAAATGCCTTCCACTTGTCTACATCTAGCATCCAGCATCCAAATCGTTGCATCTGCTGGCACTTGGCTTGCCACACACTCCGCACTCGCTGAGCATTTTTTTGGTTCTGCCGAATCGATGCCATCTGTTTGGGGGATTTATAATTTCTGGATTTTAGGCTTCACTCGCAACATCATCAGTGGTCGAATATTATCTTATCAATTTTAGGGTACATTTTCGTGGCTTTTTGACAGTCCCACGTTCGTTGCAGCGCTGCAGATATTTACATTTTTGGACATTAATAAGATAGTCCCAGCAATGTTTTAGGTGTCTCTGATAACTGCGTATCTGATGACCGAATATCAGCAAATATTTCCCATTGAAAGCGATCTTCAAAGTACCAAATAATGTGTCCATTAACTCTGAAAAAGAATAATAAGAGTCGGTTAAGAGAATGCAAACTTGTCTTAGATTAATAGCTATTAAGTTCCACTCCTAATTCAATGGAAAACTATCTATCAGAGCCTTACTATAGCTTTATATTCCTTCCTAACTATAACAAACATAGCTCTAAATTTCGTCTGCAGTTTATTCATTTAAACATTTATCATTGATTAGCTTAAAACAAAATAAAGAATAAATGTCAGAGAAACATGGAAGATGCCCTCTTCAACTCAGATTGCTGACACGACTTTGGAAGGGTCTGGCGCCGGCATAGACCTGTATTCTTGGATGCAGGCTCTGCTCGTCCCATGGTTCGGCCTCCACAGCATTGTTGTCCTCCTCTCCATCATAGAAGCTACGCTTCTTCAACTTCTCCCAGGGACTGATTCTGATGCCAGCCTGGAGCTGACGCGGCGACGCATCATCCACATGCTGCTTAAGTGTGGCTTGGGCTTGGGAGTTCACAGGCGCAGATTGGGCGATATGGGAGCTGCCAGCCATGGGCACATCGATGGTGTCCGTACCGCTCTGGGCGCTGGTCAGCCGTCGCAGCATCTCCTGGTAGTGCGGCTGATCCGCCGTAATGTACTCGGGCTCATCCTCCGGATTGAGTATTTGGTAGTTTGGGGTGCCCAGCTCGAAGGTGGTGAAGTCGCCGTGCTCCACTTTGTTCTTCAGCTGGCTGGCACTCCATCCGTACTGCTTGAGCGGCGCCATCCATTTGGTATCTGCCTCATCGGATGACTGGCAGGAGCCGAGAGCCATCAGCACCATCAGCAGTGTGATCACAAAAAGTCGTGTCGGCAGCGGGTCAACCATTTTCGCACTGATGCTCCATTGATCTTTGGCAAGACCGTTAGCCGTTAGCAGCGACACCGACAACGACGACTGTAATTGGACGCCTACAACGGGGGGGGGGGCAGGTACGTGAGATTAGAGGCATCTATGGGGCCATGTCTCGTCTGGCAGCGATAGCATTAGTTGGCGCTTATCATGGCCCGATGCCCGAACCAAAGCAAGCCATGACACATCATGGTTTTTGCTCATGAGACATCACTCACCTCACTCCAAGAGATGCCACTGCCCAGCGAAGTTCCCTCGCCAACCAAACAAATCTGCACCTAATTGAATACTTAATTAACTTATAAATTCCCACTCACACTCTCCCACTCTCTCTTTCTGACTCTCTGTTAATTATCAAGAACAAGTGGAACATTTTTTGTGTTCTTCTGGCGAACAGATTGAATGTGATGCATCTTTATATGTAGACTGATGTATGGCATGGGCATAGGTATGTATGTATGTACTAGGGTACAGGATAGTGGCGTATGGCGTATATATAATTTAATTATGACGTGTGCAGTGGCTGTCCTTATGGGCTCATGGAGAGGTGCTATGTTGCTATGTTGCTCTGTGGTGTGGTCAGTCGTGGGGGCCTGGCCTTCAGTACTTGTACTGCGCTGTGGGTCCGGACACAGAGACATAGTTACCTGGCGACAGCGCCTGCTCCTGCCTGATGAGCGCCTTGGGAGCGGCGTAGTGGACGAGCGGTGCAGCCACGAGCGGTGCAGCCACGAGCTTGGCAGCGATCAGCTTTTTGGGTGCCTCGGGCAAGGGAATCTTAATGTCGGTGGGCTCCCTGTGGACGATCGCCTCGAAGCCGTTGTGGTCGTCCGCCTTGTACTGCACAATGCGACGATAGCCATCGGAGTCGATCAGCTCGTAGACGCCCTCCACTTTGTCGTCCTTGCGCACCTCCTTCTGGCTCTTGATGTCCCCGGTGTGGGGATCGTTGACCGACCAGTGGAACTCGTAGGCCACTGGTCCGCTATCCAGCTCCGGCTGCAGTTCGAGGGCGCCGCTCAGTGCCAGCGTCAGAGCCAGGCACGCGCAGAACAGAAAGCTCACCTGGAACGAAAGGACACACACACACACACACATTACTCAGGCGCCAATTGAAGGATATCTTTGAGCGTGGTGCGACTCACTTTTCCCATCATTTGGTGTTTTGGTGGTCTGCGGGGTTCTGAGACGAGAACTCTGTGGTTAATGTGGTGTAATGCACTCGACGGAGATCGGAATCGAAGTAATTAATCTGCCGAGTCCTCGGGTGGTTTTATACTCCGCCGCTCATTACACCAGCACACCAGCCATCCAGTTCGACTCCAACTCCAACCTCGATGTGGCAATCCACCCAAAATGGTTGCTGTGCTGTGGTGTGGTGTGGCACGCGTCTCCAAGTGCTCCAAGCGCTCATTAAGTGAGCCCCGAAAAAAAATTATAATTAAACATGAAACATGCAAAGTGCGCAGAGCTTGGGCCGGGCCGGCCCGTCCCACAGCGACCCAGCCAGTGATCTACATTGATATGCAGCCAAGTGCTGGCCAAGAGAACCGATATGCCCCATCCGGAGGGAGGGCAGGGAGACACTTAGATCTTAGAGGTGTCGGTGCGTTAGTTAGTGCGCGCTGTGGCCCGTTAGTCGGGGCCAACAAATGTGCAGATTAATTTATTTTGTCAATAATTTGCAACTCAACCCAAAGACAGACCAGACATTGGGCAACGAGGCCTGCAACTGCGACTGCGACTGCGACAGTGCATTAAGTCATAAAAAATAATTGTCATGTTTGTTTGATTGGAGAGCGGGTTGGGTCTCTCGGTCTCTCGGTCTCTCGGGCTCTCGGGCGGTGTGGTGTGGCACCTTCATGGCTTAGAGGACAGGACAGACAGGATCCTTTGATTGGGACACACAGCACGCTGGATGCCATGAACAAATATTTTAATTAATCGCCATTAGACTGCTGAATGTCGGGACGGGTTTCCTATTAGCCGCAGCGCTAGGCCAAGTTATTCAGGTTACTCTTATCGCAAAGTATTTGGATTTAGCTGCTGCCGATCGTGTTTGTCGAACCTTAAAAGCAATCTCTGGTATGTGCACTTGTTAGGCGTAACTTGCTCCGAATCTGGGTTAGACTCGCACTTTGCGGGGTCGGTCTTCGGTCTGCCAGTTGTGGGCTGTCCTGTCCCGTTCCCTGGCTGCCAATGTGTGGTTTATCATGTCAGTTGTTGTGGTCGTTGGTTTGTCATCTTTTGTTTATTTGTCGCATAATGAATGAATCGTTCCCCTGCTATTCCTCATTGTGGTCCTCCTCCATCTCCTTCTCCAGCTTGGTGCGCACTTTCAGCTGGCAACGAGATCTGAGCAGCTCCCGTCGCAGGCTGTTGCTCTCCGTCTCGACAGTTTGGATTAGCTAGATGCGGGGTATCAGTAAACTACTTGGCAACATACAAAGATCCCTCAGAACGGTTGCCACTTACGCTATTGGTGAGAGCGGCTCGTTCCATGGTCTCGGCGTCGGCATCATCATCCCTTAAGGACTCACAGCTGGAGGAGACCACAGTCTTTCGATAGTTGCGACGGGCAGTCGGATCATCCGGCTGGTACCTGGGCGGAGGATCATCATCGTCTGCGGCAGGCGCAGAGGCATCATAGCCGGCCACTTCTCCCGTTTCCAGCTTCGCCTTCAGGGCAGTCACCTCCTCGCGTAAGCTTTGGTTCTGTGTCTCCAGCAACTCCACCTGCAAGGACAGTAAATAATTACGGATTCAATTCAATTTTGGGTGCTTTCGGCAACTCACGCTGTCCAGCTCAAAGTCCATTTCATCGATGATGTCATAGGACTCGTCCAGGGCTCTTTGCAGCTTCTCCACCTGAGCTTTCAGCTGCTCCAGCTCACTGCGCTCGTTCTGTGCCGACAGCCGCTTCTCCAGCATCATTCGCTGCTCTGTGTGCCGCTGATCCAAGGCCGATTTCATCACCAGACCCGTGAGTGTCTTCTGCCGCTTGAACATCTCCTCGAGTGCCTTGCAGCGCTTCACCTTCTCCAGGTAGGCGTCGTGCAGTTTGTTGTACTTCTTCTTGTGCAGCTGCAGTGTCTCCATTAGCTGATCGCGCTCCTCCTCCATCTGGTATGCCACAATCTTGGCCTGCACATCCACGGCTGCGCTTGTGTGGTGCTCTGTGGACACTCGATTCAGGCGATGACGCAGCAGAACATTCTCCTCCTCCAGCTTGAGGCTTCGTGCCTTTGCTGCAATACATTTTCCCGTTAAATGCCGTAGCCTACGTACCTAAGGATTATGTATACGCACCGGAGGCCAGCTCTGCATAGAGCAGCTGCATAGCGGACGAGGATCGTTTCTCCATTTGGTTGTTTGTACTTCTCAAGTGCGTCGTTCCCTGTAACAATTACTCAGCCACTGAGCAATTCGCTGGCTTATTGGAGCTGGAAAACAATAAAGATAAGATATCAGTATTGATGGTTGGCATGGTTGTCGCCTCCCTGTCGTTGAGTACTCAAAGTTAAAGCACAACTAAATACAAAATTAAATTAATATATAAATTTAACGAAATAAAACGTTACATTTAATTCAAGTAAAATTTGCATTAAAATTTAAATTATTTATTGTATATCTTAATGTTGCAGCCCTGGCGAACGGCACGGTTTGTGTCTTGGCTAAATGTTTCAGCTCCGCTCCGAATCGTGAAGACAGAACTATCGTGCCATCCCATTAAACTATCGTATTAAATTAATCGTTACAAAACAAATCCGATATTTATATGATTTACCCCCGAACCAATTTTGAATTTTAATCTGATTTTTCCATACAAAATTCTATATGTCATTATTGGAAATACAATCGTTTGTCTAGTACAATATATTATTTATTTTTTATGTTTTTTGTGTGTTTCAGGAGTCTCATTGTTTTCATTTCATACACTTTCATTTCATTTTAGCTTAGTTTAGTTTTAGTTTTAGTTCGCTTTCAATATTTTCTCTAGGTAAAAATATTTATTCCTCAGCCTCCGCATAGATGCCTCCGCAATCGATGCAGATGTAGTATGCAGATGCAGCTGCAGCTGCAGCTGTTACTATATCCTCTAGATATAGATTTATTGTATACATATGTAATATATCCCAGACAGGACTCGCATAAGCATCTTACTTCATACATCATACATCATGCTCTTGGCGTAGTCTGTCTGTGTATTAAAATCGCTTTTTCAGTTATTTATGTATATAAGTTATGTGGTACACACACACAAACACATATCTCAATACGATCTCGAATTTTAGCTATTCTGTAGGTACATACTTATCAATGTAGAAGTGCTGCTGCTGCTGCTGCCCCATGCGGATGGCTGGCTTGGCGGCTGGCTGGTGTATACATATACTTAGTGGCTAGTACTAGCTAAACTACACATAGATTGCATCACTTAGCGACTATTTTGGGGTCTGGGGGGAAGTGAACTCGGTACTAGATACTACTCGATACTCCACATTGCAGTTAGGATCTTCTCATACTCTTATTCTTAGGCTGTGTGTATATGTATATATATATCCATATGGATTTAATTGATATATTGTAAGGCATTATCGCATTTTTTTAAAGTACGTCATTCCGTTTAAAATCTAGGCTAGACCTACTCTTCTCCATTGCTATGGTTAAAACAGGGAATTAAGGAATTTTGTTTTGTTTTGTTTTGTTTTGTTTACTTATGCCTAATCTAATCTCTAGCTAACCCATCTAGCTTCCTCTCCTTCCTCCTCTCGCGTTCGTACACAAAGATTCTCTAAATAAATGTGATATTGCATAAGAATTACATTCAGCGTGTTTCCCTCGACCTCTTCCATTCCTTCTTTTCTCTTGCTTTTTTGTAGACATTCGTTTTATTAATTGTTTTTTGTTTTGTTTTGTTTGTTGTTTCCTATACACACATTGTTTCACAGCACAATTTCCATTGACAATTGTTTACACGTTCGTAGATTATTAAAACATATTCAATATTCTATTGATTTCTACCTTTACTCCTATTCTCTGTTTCTGTTTCTGTCTCTGTCTCTGTCCTTTTCCTTTCTGTTTCATTCTTTCAGGGCCTCAGTCTCAGTCAGAGCGTCTGTCTCAACTACGAAACCGAGATTGCACACTACAATCGAGAGCCGCTCTTCCACTACAAAATACAATACAAAATATTCCTATCACAACGATCTACGTCCTACAATATGCTGCTACTTTGCTTACTATATCTGTATCTATATCGGTATATCTGTATATCGGTATATCTGATGCCTATTCTAGTGCCTAGATCCATTGATCCATAAATATTATCTGCAATTGTGTCGAGTATACCAACGCTTACGCTTACACGTTGCACATATCAAAAGACTTCTACGGAGAGAGTAGATTTGAACACTCGGTTGTAAGTACAATGAGCAGTTGCTGTTGGGATTCACTCGCACGCGCGCGCGCACACAAAGAGGCGAAGGAGGTGCCTGGAATGGTGCCACCGAATGGTATTCAATATCCTAGCTTATAGCTAACTGAGAGGGACATTTAGTACTATTATCCTAAGCACTCGGGAACAGCAGGAACCACAGGAACTACAGGCGCAGGGATGAGCGATCCTCCTCCTCATCGTTGTCATTGATGAGCTCGTTCCGATCGTCGTCGATCTGAATCTTGTGGTGCGACGTATTCCGCGAGTGCTGCTGCTGCTGCTGATGGCCTGCTGCCTGCTTTGCAGTGGGCGCAGCAGCTACGGCTGGCGACACCTCTGGCAGCATTGTGTAGTTCAGATCCTTGGAGTTGGTGCGACGATGTCGCAGGACACTCAGTCCCGTCGAGGCAGGTGTCTCTGCTGCTGGCTGCACTGCGCCGCTGCTCGATGGAGCTGCTCCGCTGGCAATTTTCGTGTTCAAGTCCTTTGAATTGTTGCGCGAATGGCCACGCGAGCCAGAGCCAGAGCCACCTAATCCTCCGGCCTCCATCTCGTTGGAGTTCTTGAGTTTGCCACACGTCTCGGCCACCACATTCTTGAGCACATTTACGTTCTTCTTGGGATTGTGGTGCGCATGGGGATGGGCATGGGCATGGGGATGCCGCAAAAAGTCCGCATCGAAGCGTATGTTGTTGGGCATGTAGATCTGATCGTAGCTGTGGTTGCGCGAGTGCTTCTTCACGAAGTGGCCACAGCCGGTGGTCAGCTCATCGTCGTCCTCCTCCTCGGCACAGTCCTGGGGCCGCAGCTGGTTCTGTATGTAGCGTATGGGCTGGCTATTGTCGTGCATATCCGTGGAGTGGTTCCGGGTGTGGGCCTGGAACTTCTTGAGATTCTTGTACTTGCTGCTGCTGCCACCGCCGCCGCCACCGCCGGCCTCCTGGCCCGCGGCATCTGCCGGCCCCCCGCCCGAGGAGTTGTGATCCCTGGCAAAGCTCTTGATCATCTTCACATCACACGAGGCGCTGCGGAAATGCTTCTTTGACTTTGTCTGCGGCTGGTTGCACGTGTTCGTAGGCGGCACCACATGCCCGCACTTGTCGTAGCTGCCAGAGAGAGAAAAAATCATTAGTGGTGAATGCTCTAGAGAATTGTCTGGCTTGGGGGACTCACCAATAATCCATTTGCATGGTGCGCGAATCATTGCGCGAATGCCGCAATATATCTGTGGGTATGATCAGCTCCCCTGCGCCGCCAACGAAGCCAGCGGCGGGCTCTGCGCCCGACAGCTTCTCCTCGAACACTGCAAAGCACAGACAAATCAGTGGAAAATACATTGAGAATCCATTACAAACACAAGGCATAATGGGGGGGACTTGGGCACTTATACTCCAGGTATTCTACGTATTTCTCGTATAAAACATTTATAATTTATATTCCCGCATGCTCTGAGCTATCTTCTGGCCCCTCTTCACTCACATTTGTCCAGACTAATGATGGAGCCAATAATGGGATCGCTGGCATTCAGCGGCTTGGTCTTCTCCAGCTGCCTGCGTCGTCGCACCAGCCACCAGTCCACGATGAAGATGAACAGAGCCACCAGCTTCACAGAGGCACAGAGACCCACATATCTGCAGCAAAGATTAAAACAATGTTACAATCCATTCCCCATGGGAGATGAGAGATTCGAGATTCGTGATTCAATTACTTGTAACGAAACTTCTCAATGTCGTAGATGAGACAGCGACCGCCCTTCTCCCCGCAGGAGGATTTCCACAGCAGGCAGGTCGAGTCGATGAGGTTGCCAAAGAGAATGGGGGCGGGTATGTAGCCGAACAGTCGAAAGATCACAAACTGCATGCCCAGGGCAAAGGAGCGCTCCTCCTCGGACACCGAGCGCAGGACAATCATGAGCAGGGGCATCTGCGTGGACGCCACCAGGAAGGTCATGAAGAAGAGCAGTATGAGGAACGGATAGATGGTGCGGCAGGGCGTGGCACAGGGCCCCGCTGTGGCCACCGGCACCACAGTGACCTCGGCAAAGTCGTCTCTGGCGCTGAGAGCCTGCGCCTGGCTGCCGCCAGCGCCACGATAAATGCTGCTCGAGATGTTGGCGTGAACACCTGGGCAAAAGGGGGGAGAATGAAACATCATTAGAGATCAGTCGAGAGTCGAGAGGGAGATCCTGCGTGGAAATACTCACATGCACAGTTGGTGTAGTTGGAGCTGGAGGAGAAGGCCGTGCAGCCGGCGTGACAGGGACTGAAATAGGTCAGTCCGTTGTTGCCGCAGACGGGCTCCACCTCGCTGGTGAGGCACTCGCAGCCAAAGTTGCAGGCGGCCGTGAGGTTCACCGTGAAGGGCTGCTCCAGCGTGGAGCCTCCCTTGTTGCTGGTGTAGTAGGGGATCGTGGTGCCGGCCATCTTGAGGTTGTCGCAGCCCAGGAAGAACAGCATCGCGTAGCAGGCGAGGCAGATCACGTTCGTGATCAGCACGAACTGGACGGCGCCCTTGGGCTTCAGCTGGAACCGCTTCAGGATGCAGCCTCCGAGGAAGATGCCGATGCAGGCCCCCGGCACGGCTATCGAGCCCGTGAAGATGTTCGCCTGGCTCTTGCCCAGGCTGAACTGCGTCTCCAGGTACTTGGGCAGGAAGACCACAAAGCCGGAGACGATCATCAGCTCCATGCAGGCCCCCAGGCAGGTCACGATGTACACGGGATTCTTCACCAGCCGCAGCATCGACTTGGGTATGTCCTTGATGTCCTTGCCGTAGCCAGTGTCCACCTTGGGGGGCAGCTGCTGCTGCTCCTCCTTGCTTGTGACGGCCACAATTTCCACCTTTTTCACCACCTTCCCGAGCTCGTCGGTGGCCACCACCGCACCGCCGCCGACGCCGCCGCCAGCTGCCACAGAGTTGTTGGGCAGCACAGGCTGGACGACGCTGCTCTTGCGGATCTTCTTCTTTTCGCGAGCGAGCACCTTGGGGAAGGAGAAGAAGGGCACGGCCACCACCAGAAGGATGACGCCGCACAGCAGGAAGCCACCCCACCAGAGGCCCACCCACCGTCGGTCGCCAGGAGCTGCGAGAGAATGAGAAGATTAAAATGGCTGTGGCGAGTTCTGGAGAGCATTGGGCACTCACTGATCGAGATGGTGGCGGAGGAGAGCGAGTCCATGTGGAAGGAGAGCAGGTAGGCGCCGAGGAGGAAGCCCACCACGGGCCCAAAGGCGCCCATGCTGTACATGCAGCCGATGTACATCGAGGAGCTCTCGGTGCGCACGTGGTCGTCCACGTAGGTGGTGCCCAGGGTGAAGAGCGGACTGCCGCCGCAGCCGAGCAGCAGCTGGGCCAGAACGAACAGCAGCACGGGTCCGGTGGTGGAGGCCTTGCCCTCCAGGCAGTTGTCCTCGCGCAGCGTGTGTGGCGCCAGCGGCTGGTTGGAGAGGCCGCTCGAGAGGCGCCCCAGATCCATGTCCTGGTCCCGCACCAGCGCACTGCGGCAGATGTTGTCGCTCGTCTGGTTGAGGATGGCAATGCCCGGATTGGGCTCGCCGGTGAAGTGCGGCACCATGAACACCAGCGATCCGATGCCCATGATGACTGCCCCAATGCCGATCCACACGGGAATGTGGCGACGGCTGCCCAGGTAGCTGACAAAGATCACGGTTATGACGTTGCCGATCTCGTAGCTGGAGGCGATCAGGCCCGAGTAGCTGGACGGGATCTCGAAGCGTTTCTCGATGGTCGTGATCACAGAGTTTATGTAGCCCGAGCTGAGCGCCTGCTGCATCATCACCAGCAGCGAGAGCAGCAGCACGAAGATCTTGATGCGGGCAAACCTCTGGATGCCGTTCGGCCGGCAGTTGAGAATTCCGCAGTCGCCGGAGCTGAACTGCTCCTCGTCGTAGTCCTCCTCCTCATCGGCCGGGCACTTGCCCGCCGACGCCTGTCGACTGTGACACTTGACCATCACACTGCTGTCCACGGGACCAGTAGCAGCAGCAGCAGCAGCAGCGCCAGGAGCAGCAGCCGTGCCACTTGTGGGCTGGGCATCGCCCAGGGCGGCATCTATGCTGCTGTCGTCACCGCTGTTCGTCTCGGAGTAGAGGCCGGTCATCTGGTACATCGATTCCTGCCGCCTGAAATGGATTGATTGGGGGATTGTGCGTGTCAGTTGGCTGATTCTTAGACTTGCTCAAAGACTTTTCTTTGATTTTCTTGCATTTTTCTTTCACTGAGTTTTTGATGCTGCGCTGCTTTTGGCCAAAACGAATGAGACACGTGTGTGCGTGTGCGTGTGTGAGTGTGTGCGTGTGTGTGTGTGTGTGTGTGTTCTATAAACTGGAATTCGGAATTTGTATGCACTGACAAAAGTGTGACTTATGTGATTACGATTCCCCAGTATACCAGACCAGAAACCAGAAACGGAACCAGAAACAGAACCAGAATCAGAATCAGTTTTGGTGCTGCTAACCCACAAACGGAGTTCCCCTCTTGATGCATCCGGCCATCCTGCCTGTTATGAGTCCTTCTGTGTGTGCAGCGGATATATATCCTTGCCAATCGATTGATTTCGAAACTCTAAAACTCGCCGCAAAGTCTCTACGCTTATCCTTAGGCGGCTATTGAAAGCCTCGACCTTCCTGCCTTCCTTCCCTCCATCCATGCTTCCATTCCTGCCTTGCAAATGCTTTTTGTGCTCTGTTTTTTGAGGCCCACGGCATTCGGTTGTCTGTCTATAAGCCGGCCTAGAACTTGGCGACGGCCACGGTCGCTCCAAGGCCGCTGGAGGGCGAGGTCAACTCGGCTTGCCCCACCATCATTCCATCACCCATTCAATGTCAAGCACTTTGGGCTTTCGGCCAAGACACACACACCAACACCAACACCTCACCCCACACACTGTTCCGCTGCCCCGCTGCCCCGCTGCCCCACTGCCTGCTCCTCCTCTGCTGTTTGTTGTTTGGCTTGGCAGCAGCGGCAGCAGCAGCAGCAGCAGCTGTAACCACAAAATGCGCTCTACTCTGACTCTTCTCTGAATCTTACTCTTCCTCTGGTTGGATGTGCCACTGGGTCTGGTTCTGGGTCTCTCTCTCTCTCTCACTCTCTTTATTCCCGTTCTCCTTCCGGTTATGTTTTGGAGTTCCTTCGTCTGGCAGTGCACGCGGATGACTGCGGCGCCATCGAGTGAATCCAAGTCGAAGCTCACGTGCTGCTCTCACCCTGGACGTTTTTTTTTTTTGTCACGCTTTCCCTGTGGCTTGAATGGCGGCAGTGAAACGGGGTGGGGGGCGGTGGTTGGGAGGTGGGTGGGTGGTGCCTTTGAATATTTCAAACTTGACCGACTGCTACTCACTCATCGTAATCGCCTCCTATCGATTGAATTTCGAAGCGAAAGGCGCTGCAGTCTTATGAATTATTGAGCCTTAAACCAACACCAGAGCCCCTGCCCCTGCCCCTGCTCCTGCCACGTGCCACTCTCTAAGCGTGCCCCCTCTAAACGTGCCTGGCTCCCGCTACGTGCCACAACGAGTAGACTGCGACTGCGACTGACTACCTTCTGCCCGCCCCCCCCCTAGGCTAATTATCGATATGGAGTATCGGCGCTATAATGCTTCCTTCTTCGTTCTTTTCTCTTTGTTTGTTGTGTCAAACTCCTGCGCCCTGTCCGCCCTCTCCACTCCTCTCCGCAGGCAAAGTGTCAATTTATGTAAATAGTTTTCCCTTGCCATTAGGAGTGAGCGCGGCAGAGGGAGGAGTAGGCACCTGCAAATTACGTGGCTAATGTCTCTGGCTATGGCTTTGCCCCCGCCTCTGGCTCTGGTTCTGCTTCTGGCAATTGCAGCCGATTCGATTCGTTTCGTTTCGTGTTTCCTCACCTGTGACCTTTGCGATGTGTCGTGCTGGCATCGCTGGCATTGCTGTTGGAGCTGTGGATGTGGATGTTGCTGCCACTGGCAGTGGCTGCGGCTGCGGCTGCTGCTGCGGCGGTGCCTGTTCCCGTGACAGTCGCCGTGGCGACAACTGCTGCTCCAGTGGCCTGTGGGCTGTCGAAGGACTCCTGCTCGAACGAGGGATTCGTATACTGTTCGATATGCTGCGCGCCGGTTCCGGATGAGCGTTTGGCCGACATTCTGTTGTTGCATCTATCAGTGAGCAGCAATCATTCATTCATTCGTGCAATCAATCAATCAAACAATCCTCATCCATGCGACTCTGAGGCACAGCCTGGAAAAAAGATTGAAGAAGGAAAACACACACAGCTTTTCTTTAGCAAATTCGACTTTAACTTTTGTCTAACTTATGTGGCACTCTGGCACCCTTGCCCCCTGCCACACCACACCCCACTTGCCACACTTGTCTGTCATTAGGGACTTTCGACTTTCACACACACGCACAGAAAATTCCCTCTGGAGTTGATGACGCCGCCGATTACTTCCTGAATGAAGCTCCAACGCCCCATTGGCAGCGCACACTAATTGCTCCCTAAGCCCCCGCACAAAGTCAGTGTGCAACATGCCACCAGCCATTGGGACAGTGCCACTGCCACTGCCACTGACTAAGGGAAAAAGAAAGATAATTACGGCTACCGACCCTGGCTTTCTTACGTGTTCAGACTTCCGCTGAAGGATAAGAAGGATGCTTGTTGCCGCCGTCTTCTATTAAAAAGCTTGCCACACACACACACACACACACACACACACACAGACAGACAGACAGAGGACACATGCCTATGCAATAGGAGTCCATGTGTGTGTGGGTAGGCCTGAGCAGAGATGCAACAGTGACACGAGCAAGAAGGTTGCTTGCTGTTAAGGATAAAAAAGGGGGAACACACACAGCACTCCATCAAGTGCACAGATCCAACTTTAAGATACAATCCTTCCCTGCCAACCTGCCAACCTCCCTCTTCCCCCTCTCAGCGGGTGGTGTGAGAGCCAGCAGTTGCTCACTTCTCCGATTTTACTTTCATTAATATATTTTGGGTACACATTATATATGCAGCAGCAGCAGCAGCAACAGCAACAATGGGAACTACAACAACACTCGAACACGCCCCCACACACGCACCCTTAAAAAGGGGCAGAGAAGGAGACAGGAAGGAGGTAATATATCGATTTCCCCTGCAAAAATGAAATATGAAAATCAGCAGAAAAACGAAGGGCTAATGCTCGTGATTGTGCTCCTTTCTGCTGCCTGCTGCCTGCTCCAAGGGTCTCTCTTTCCCCTCTGTTCCCTTGGGAACCTCAGCAAATGGCAACTAATTCGTGGCTTCACTTGGTGTATGACCGCTTAAGTGGGACTCAGTTGCTTCTTTCAGAGTTTACCCATTAGTTACCCTCGCTGTGCCGTTGCACTTTTGCCTGCCACCCACTGACCCAGCAGTTAATCAATTACTTCTCCTGCTCTCCTGCTCTCCTGCCCTGCTGCTGCGGCTGCTTCGGCTGCCCATTGGATGACCCACAAATGTTGCAGCTTATTGCTTTCATGTTCCACATTTTGTACATTTTTTGTGTGCCGCCTTTTATTCAGTTTTTGGTGTCACACAGATGCTGGCCACTGGCACTGGGCACTGCCACTGCCACTGCGCCTCTCTGTTCGTTCTATTCTATTCTGTTCCATGGATGAAAGAGGCTGCCCAGATGGATGATGAAATAGCCAACTTTTGTGGCCTTATTTTATGGCCATTTCTTTGGCCAATTGCCAAAACACACACACTTGGTTGCCTGCCACCCCAGCCCACCCCACCCCACTCCATGCCGTGTTCCAGTTCCAGTTGAGGCAGTCACTGGACAGATGATGCAGGAAATGGATCGGATCGGATCAGATCAGGGCAACGTGATTCGTGTTCGTGTTCGTGATTCGTGTAGATTCCATCCTCAATTAGACAATTTTTAAAGCAGAGAAAAACAGCGCCAGGAAATGTTGTTTGCTCTTGTTGGCTATCTGATCCAGCAGATCGTAAAATATATATAAATCTATTTATATACTCGCATTCGTAATTGATCATAAAAACACAAATCGAATCCATTTCTCGACTCTCGAGTGGAAGCTCTCGCTCTCTCTGTCTCTCTCTGTCGCATGAATTGCACGAATGAGAGTCAATTAAAGGGCGACATCAGCGACATGGCAGCGGCATAACCTTTTTTGTGCCCTACCCCTGGGCGTCCCTTGTGGGGACTAATCGACAACAGCAAACAGCAACAGAGAGAGCCAAAAAAAAAACAGCACAGAAATATATATTACATAATTGCAGTTGGGCTGCGAATATTGGACATCATTTATGAAATGTGTTTCTGCATCTGTTGTGGCCACCAGGATGGATGGGCTGGACACTGTCCGCATGAGTTCGGTGAAAGCAGAAAGAGACCCAGCCGTGGAATGCCGCACGACAGCAATTTTTTAAAATTAATATTTGTGGGCCGGATTGAGTGGCCACTCGAAGGCAGTGGACAGGTGCATGTTGCATAAGCTTAGGGCTGTGGCAAGGCATGGAAGGATTTTTAGGCTGCCTCTCTACGAGCAGCTCCCCAACCATTACCGCACACCACTCCGCTTTGGCACTTCCAAATAAGTTAATTACAATTCCGAATGCGTGGCCTGATTTAAAATTCTTTTTGTGTTTTATAGTGCACCTGTTCTGATCTTGATCGTTTGAAGTTAGTTCCTCGATCACGCCCTTTGGTGGGTTATTCCACTCAGCCACGTCTGATGATGATGATGCAGATCACGTCTCTCTCTCTCTCTGTCTGTCTCTGTTTGTCTCTTTGGCTTTGGCTCTGGCTCTATCTCTTCGGTAGGAGGAACAGAACATTGAACCCCCAAGCAGAAGAGAGAGGCGTAGCGGAGCGGGGCGGGGTGAGCAATGGCTGATGTAATTAAATGAGACAATGCGAAAGTCAACAAGTGCCAGGCAGCGAGGCAGCCTGGAGCCAGGCCAATGGCAGAATCACAAGTGCCAAAAGCCACAAACAAGATTTATTTCTGGCTGATTCTTGACCAAAAAAAAAAACTGCTTAAAAAATGGTAAAGGTCAGTCAAGTCGTCAACCGACGAGGCTCGAAAGTAGCAGCAGCAGCAGCAGTCAGCAGCAGCAGTCAGCAGTCAGCCTGTTGTCTAAGCCAAATAAAGAAACTCGTTTCGAGTCGCGAGTCGAATCGAGAGTGGAGGAGATGTTTGGGCTTTTTGCATGTGTCACCACTCCTGTCTCCCTCTCTCTCTCTCTCTCTCGCAGAGTGCTTCATTCTCTTTCCTTCTTTGGGGTTTTTATTGTTCATTCGTTCATTTTTAGAATCTTAATGGAAGTTTTGCGAGGAAAACAATCAAAAGTACGAGTGTACGAATGGAAAGTGAATTCAATTGTGCATTGCCATTTACGAATCCAAAAAAATATATACTGCATGCACAGATACACAGATACAGATGTATGTATATATGTATGTATGTATAAAATCTTATGCACCTCACTCGCATATACAGGAAGTTAAGTTTACAAAACGAGTTTCTTTCGCCTGCTGTTTGTTTTGTTTTGTTTGGTTTGGTTTCGTTTTGTCTGTGCCTATTTCTGTGCTAGTAGATAAAAGATACAAAGATACTTTCCGACCCATAGCGAAAAACTTGAATCAATAATAATTAATTTACGCCGAAACATTACTCTGCAGTGTTTTCCGCGAATGTTCCTTGGCTTCTTCTTTGCTTCAGCTGATAACAGCGCGAGCGGGAGATGTTTTGTTCAAAACTTCCCCACTGATAAGCGAGAGAGAGCAGCGAGAGACTCGCGACTGAAAGATAGTCAAGAGCAGAGATACATTCTGTCTGCTGCAAAGTCTTTTCGCGAGGTTTTCCCCCGTGGAACGTGAAGCTGGCGAGGCAATTATGATGGAACACCCATGGGTGGGCACGACATGGCAACAGGCAACAAGGCAACCAGGCTGATAACACTGCGGACATCGGACGAGTGTCTCGGTGGGACAAACAACAAACAACTAGATTTCCCATGCCCTCAGTGGAGGGCAGAGGCTGCTCCAAAGTGTGTGGGTGGAGGGGCTCCACTTTTCTTGTATGCGCAGCTGTTGAATGTTTTTGTTTGACATTGGATTCTGATAATCTCCCAAGGACAGAGCACAGCCATCAAATTGAAACCACAACCGGAAAGCCCATAAACTTTGGAACGGAAAATAAAGAAATTAATTCAGTTTAATTGGTCCACGATTCTCATCTGGTTTCCATTTGTCAAACTGTTTCAAAGGTTTCAGGAATATTAAGATCTCAAATGTACAGACAACTGAGGCTGAGGCTGAGGTCTGAGCTGAGGACTGTATTCGAATGACTTGGAATGACGGCGGTAGATAAGGCACACTGAGGGCAGGGCACTCAGTGCCGCCTCGCCTCGCCTCGCCACACTTCTGCTTCTTCTTGCATTTGCATTAAATAATTCAGAAATTGTGGAAACGAGATTATTCAGATGATGCTGCCGCTTGACCCTCTGACCCACATTCATACGAATGTACACTTTACGTAATAAAATTATTGTTTACTACGTACGGAGTACGTATGTATGTATGTTCCCCATACGCGTAAATAAATAAACAACCGACCATTTTGTGACGTATTTTGTGGCATTTTGGGGCTCACAGGCGAAATAATTCCAGGCGGTGGGAAAGGTAACACTTTAAGCCCTTTTTGCTCGTTGTTCTTTTACTCGTTTCCGAGTTCTCGTTCTCTTCATTCGCTAGTATGCACTTTACTCTCGTTACTTCACTTCTATCGCTGGGATCCTCTCGCTTGTAATCTATTTAAAATTTAAATCCGTGTATTCCTTAAATAAAATCTCTGTTGCTTCCCCTCGTTCATGAATATAATACTTAAGGGAACGGAACCCATGCCGTTCCCTGGTGAATCTTCTTTAGCTGCATCAGCATAAAATGGGGCTCTGTTCTCTTCTTTGGGTGTTCTTTGGGGCCACTCAACTGCAGCTCTCAAGTTTCCTAAGCCCCCAACGGCTTACCCCGCCACCCCTTTGACACTCGTTGCTGCAACTCGAATGCGTTTCGTGTAATTATTTGGCTTTTGGAATTCGACAAACTCGTTTTAAGCTTTTTTGTTTTAAATTACTTTGCATTGGAGCTGGGCTGGGCTGGCTGGGTGAGACTGGGGCTGGGGCTGGGTTTTGGCCTGAATGAAAGGGGCTTCCATGACGTGCGAGCGCCATCCACCCACCCAGATGCCTCCCCAAGCACAACAAAACACCAAAAAGTGCTGCGAGTGTGAGTTAGATGGAGTGGATCGGATTACTGCGAGTACTCGCAGCGCAGAGTCTTGTCAGAGATTCAGCAACGGCGCAGCGGAGCAAACGGAGTGGCAAATAATCCTCTTAGTAGTCACTGCAGTTCAGGAGGGGGCGGGAGTGAGCACACTGTTTGGCTTTTACGGGTAGAGCGGGTTTTTTGAATGGAACCTGCAACTGAAACTGGAACTGCGAAAGCGACACATTTGCCATTGTTGGTTGCAGCTTTTAATTGCAGCATAAAAGTCCACAAAAGTCACATGTCAGCGAACGAGAGAGACCCCGAGAATTGCTCAAGATCTCATTCGCCATCCCACACGCAAGGTGGCCCCCCCTTGGTACATCTGAATCATCTGCATCGCTTGGAGAGTTCGCTGATCTTCACGCTTTGTGTGTTCCTTCGGCAAGAATAATGACCTCGATTATAATTATTTGTCAGAGTACAGTTTAACCTCTCGCACAGTCATCCAACTGCAGCAGGCAGCATTCAGCAGGGGCAGCAATTGATCGATTCACGATCAACAAGTCAAGAGTCAGAGCACCCGCGAGAGTCAAACACAAAGACAAAGAGCGAGCAAAGATTCTTGCAAACGGACAAGAAAACATTTCTGATAATTTGCGGTTCCGCTGCTCGCTCGCTGGACAGTGCACTGGTCCAGCACGGACTCCACTCCGATGGATGGAATGAATGACAGCATTTCAAGTGGGTGTGTTGCTGGCTCTGCACAACCGGTCTCTCTAGATAGACCTCCTGCATTTGTATCTATGTATCTATAACTATTTATTTTTCTCCATTGGTCATTCTCAAGCATTGGACTACTCGTTGGACCGGCTGTGAAGGCCACACAAGCGCAAACAGGGGGTACGGGACACAACTCCGCTCCGCAACAAATTGACACAAATAAATCCACAACGAAAACATAAACATTATCAAACAAGTGTGAATAGGAATCGGAATGTTATGTAAGCAATGATTCAGATTACAGCACTTGGAAGTGCTCAAGTCAAGTCTCAACCTTGTGCTGGATACAGTAGCATTAATTCTTTAGGAGTACTTCACGGATTGAATTGGTCTCTCCAAGGAGCTGTCTGCCTGCCAGTGCTTCGTTCTAGATATGAATCAATGATGTTTTGGCATGGAAAATGCATCGATTGCCTTGCAGTTTTAGCTTCTGATTTTTTGCCCCCTCAGATGGCACTTTGACGTCACAGCTGGGGCTCTTGGATAATAATTCAAAGACGCACATGCTCTGCTCTACTCTCCGTATGCAAACAAGCAAAAACCTCTTTCTCTCCGACCTGTGTTTGTTCGACTAAAACTTCCAGCAGCTGATAAAACAAAAGACGACACGCAGAGAAAGAGAGAGAGAGAGGGAGAGGGAGGGGACACTATGAAGAAGGGAAATGAATATATGGCCAGCAGAAATGAGAAGCCAGAAGCAAACAATAACAGTTATTATTACGGCAGCACTTGGCTGAAATGATTTTACGTAGCAGCGCTCGGAAATAATCTAAAGCTTGGCCATATTCTGCCTGCCCCCCTTAAAACCACCTCCCCCCCTTTATACAAGTATCTTTGCCAGCAGACAGGCGGCCTGCATTTGACGCATGTTTGGTAATTATGCAATAAAGACTAGAGACCCAGAGAATCATTTACAAAGAAAACAACCAACAGAAGCAACAGAAGCAGCAGCTTCAGCAAAAGCCATACGTCAATGAATGTATCTGAGATACAGATAAAGATAAACAAGCGATGCATTGGCATGAATAAAATATATATAATTAGATTTAGTTGGAAAGGTTAATTCCGATAATAGGAGAGCAGGAGCAAGTACACTGCCTGACCGGACCGGACACTCCAGAGCAGTGCGTATAGCCCATAACCTGTAGATGTGCCACAGTATATACTGTCAAAATATGATATACGCCCGAGTATCCATCTCTGTGGGCAAATACTGGCATTTATTTAATGTTCAAAGCATCCAATCGAACGAAAATAACCCATGCAGTGTGGTGGGTGGACTGAGAGGCAGACGGGCTGTGGGTGGAGCGACTTGGCAACGCCACGGGCTTCTGCTCTGTGATTATAAATAGTGTTTTACCAACAAACAATCATGGCCACATCTATTAGATCTGGTGCTGCGCCCCACCAATATGAAATTAAATGAATGTTTATTCAAGAAACAACGAGTCGACGAGCTGATAATGAATACAAATCAACAGAGCACACACACCGCAGAGATCCACAGAGAGATCCACAATCTAGTAGTTCGGGATAGATCGGATTATTGCCTCATGCACTGAGCTTTACATTCGGTTTGTTTGTGTTGTCTCTTTGTTTGTTTAACTTTATGCCCAGAGGGACTTAATATAGGCAGAGACTTTGGCTAGAGATTAGCCAGAACAGGGGCAAACATCCCACACAGAACGAACCCAAAGCCAAGCAAACTCTATTTATGAAAACTGGAAGAGGAAGGAGGAGGAGGAGCACAGCGAGAACTCCAAAAGAGAAGAAAAGAAATGGGTCCCAGATATTTGAATATTTATGTGAAAACCTGCATAAATTATTCACGAAACGAATCAAGAGTATCCCCCACCCCACACACACCAATAAGAAGTTAAAATTCGACTCCAATCAGTTTTCTCTCTTTATATTCTTTTGGTGAAAAAGAAAGTAAATTAAGTGTGGCCCAAAATTAACACATGAATTATTTAATATTCCACTCGCAGAGGCATCCCCCCAAATTGCATTCATAGAGAGAGAGAGAGAGAGTGTTCAGTCGCATATTTATGCAGTAATTAATATTACATAATATACACTTATCGAATAAGTCAGGTCGACCCATGTAACGGGAGACATAATAACAAACGACAAGGCATTGTAGCTGAGTCAAAAATAACCGCTTCTGCAGCAATTTCTGCCAACGATGCGATCGCTCGTCAGAGGGCAAAAACACTGGTGCAATTGCTGACTATCACAATTGCCCAATAACACAATATCATATTAAATCCAAATTAATTCAATATTAATTCCAATTCCCTTTTACCATATTCTTACTAGACTCAGCACTTTCTGTACCTTTTGTTACCTATAAATAGAAATTAAGTTTGTTGAATAAAATCAGTATCAGAAACAGTACCATCACTGCCTGTTCACTCATTCTCTACAACTGCAATCAACAGAGGCTGTCGCCGTGTCTTCAGACCCTCATTTGCTCGACGTAGGAATCCCTCTCCGCAGTCCAACTGGTTCAAGTTCTAGTTGCGACGACAAATTTGTAGACGGTTTATGTACCGTATGCATACCAAAACACACACACAATCACACATTAACATTTGGTGACCCCGACCCCAAGTAAGAGGAGAAATGGAGGAACACGCTGTCACCACGGAGACTTACAGCAAATTGCCTTCACTATGTCGCCGACAAAAGGCCATAGTAGCGTCCATAAAACGCATTCTGAGACAATTCTCAGAGGCGGGAGGACGTACATCAAGTGATTTGATAAAATCACTATGGACTCAAGCACAAGAAGTCCATTTTACTATTCACGAAGAATACGATAACCCAGAGGAAGGAGGATACAACATGGAAGCCTACCTGACCCTGGAAAAAGAGGTTCAAAGTGCATTGGCAAAACCAGCCACATCAAACAATAATGACGTGCAGCTTCCACGCATTAACATTCCCAAGTTTGATGGGGACATACTGAAATGGTCCCAGTTCTATGACCTGTTTTCATGTATGATACATGAAACAAACATGCCCACAGTTCGGAAGATGTGGTATCTGAAAACAACCGTAACTGGAGAGGCAGAAAGATTGATCCGACATATCGATCTAAAGGAAGAAAACTATTTGAGCGCCTGGGAAATTCTGATTGATACATACAACAATCCCAGAGACGTCGCTAGCACGGTATTAAACCGCTTCCTAAATTATAACACAGTTAATGACGACTCCAAGTCATTAAAAGAGTTGTACGTTACAACTATCGAATCCCTGGCATCACTAAAGGGATTGGGCATCAATATATCCACATGGGATCCAATATTGATTGCCGTCATCAAAAATAAGCTAGATGTCACTAACAGAGCCTTGTACGAGCAATCATTGGGAAGCTCAAAGGAAATACAGGCCTTGGACACAATGCTTCAGTTCCTAGAACAAAGAGTTCGAGTTCTAGGAACAGGCAAAAAGACACAAATGTCAAGGAAAGAGCCAAAAGGCACAACATGTGCAACAGTAAATACTGGAAAATCGAAGACGCCTCTCTGCTCATTCTGCAAGAAGGCAAGCCATTGGCTCTACGGATGCGATGAGTTTCGCTCCAAATCACCATCAGAACGACTAAATTGGGTACAAAAGCAGAAATTGTGTGTCAACTGTTTTAAAACAAGCCACAAAACAAATGCATGCCCAGGTCGGACATGTTTCAAATGCGACAAAAAACACAATACACTGCTGCACTTGGACATACCATCGGGCGTAAGTACAGAACCAAGAGCACCGACGGTTGGCGCAGCAAGTAACAATAATTACAACCTGTTAGCTACAGCAAAAGTAGCAGTAGAAGCAAACAATGGACAGAGAGCCAATTTCAGGGCCTTGCTGGATTCAGGATCACAGATCAACCTGATCTCTGAACGAATGGCATCAATGTTGTCAGTAAAACTTAATGATACAACATTACGCATCGAAGGAATTGGAGGTCAGTCAAAGACCAGCAGAGCACGAGTAAATGTTCTAATAAAATCACTTCACGGCGGATTTACGCAAAGAATTGAAGCATTCGTACTACCTCAGATAATTGCTGATCAACCAGCGCAGGCACTCGATGAAATGAACTTGAACATACCAAACAATTGCCCATTGGCAGATCCGGATTTCTATAAACCGGGAAAGGTCGACATGCTCATCGGAGCAGAACACTATTATTCGCTACTACTCCCAGACCAAAAACAGCCAAAGTCAGGAGGTCCGTTGCTGCAAAATACAAAATTGGGATGGATTGTGGCAGGAAAAATCAGGTCTGCACACAACTCCGCATCCATTTGTGCAATTGGACTCAACGAGCTAATGGAAAAATTCTGGACTCTGGACAATTTAGAGACGGAAGAAAAACCACGCACGCCAATCGAAGCACATTGCGAAGCTCACTTTATAGAGAACTTACAAACAGCATCGGATGGCAGGTTGATAGTAAAACTCCCTTTTTCCGAACACTCTTCAGCCCTGGGGGGGTCTTTGGAAACTGCAACGAAACGATTCCTGGCATTAGAGCGACGGATTTCACCAGACACCTGGAAAGGCTATGTGGAATTTATGAATGAATATGAAGGACTTGGACACATGAAGATGGTCCCAGCAACTCAAGTGCCGGAGAGACACTACTTCATACCACACCACTGTGTACTCAAACCTGAGAGCACCAGCACAAAGTTACGGGTCGTGTTTGATGCATCATGCAAATCAACAAGTGGAAAGTCTCTAAACGACATTCTGCATGCCGGACCCACAGTTCAGAGTGAACTTATGTCCATTCTACTACGTTTTCGTATACATAAGTACGTATTCACAGCGGACATCGAGAAAATGTACCGACAAGTGTGGATAAATCCAGAGGATCAGTTTCATCAGATGATAGTCTGGAGAAACAATCCATCTGAAGATATCAGGTACTATCGCTTAAAAACAGTCACATATGGGACCACATCTGCTCCATTCCTGGCAACGAAATGTCTGGATCATTTGGCAACTCGGAGCCAACACAGATTACCTATTGGATCTGCTGCATTGAAGAACGATTTCTATGTGGACGACTGTCTTACTGGAGCGGATACCATTCAGGAAGCGATACAAGTTCAACAAGAACTTAATAAAATATTGCTACCGTTCGGCCTTAAACTTCGCAAATGGTGCTCCAACAACGACCAGCTCTTGCAAGGAATCCCTAAAGAGGACATTGTCAACGACGTCAAACTAGGTGAAACATTAGAGCAATACAGCGTGAAAACGCTGGGTCTCATTTGGATGCCAAAACAAGACCAACTGCGAGGACGAACCACAAAAAGCCAAGCAACACGCATCACCAAAAGGGTCGTGTGCTCAGAATTGGCCCAAATCTTTGACCCACTGGGTCTCTTTCCGCCCCGGTGATAGTCAAGGCAAAAATATTTATGCAACAGCTGTGGGAGATTAAACTCGATTGGGACGATGAACTGCCATTACAACTCCAAAACGAATGGAAGGAGTACCGGGAGGACCTACAATCATTAAACTCAATGGAGATTCCCCGGCACGTATATGATGGAAAAGTGCCAGTCACCCAGGATCTACATACCTTTGTAGACGCATCGGAACGAGCCTATGGCGCGGCAGTGTACGTACGAGCCACCTACAAAAACAATCAGGTCTCTGTACGACTATTATGCTCAAAATCTCGAGTAGCACCCACCGCCAAACAATCCCTACCACGTCTAGAACTGTGCGCTGCAGTTTTAGGTGCCGAACTCACCAATCGAGTTAGAAAGGATCTCCATATGAATCTTGACACAGTATCAGGAATCTTCTGGACTGATTCCACCGTTGTACTGTCCTGGATTAACGCATCGGCGTCCACATACCACACATTCGTGGCAAATCGAATCGCCAAAATCCAGGCATTGACGAACCAATTACAATGGCGTCATGTTTCATCAGCCAACAACGCAGCAGATGTCCTTTCAAGAGGAATCTTAGCAAGCAAGCTAAGGGATCATAGTCTATGGCTATACGGACCATTATTCTTGCACGGATCAGAAGATAAATGGACAAAACCACCCATCATTGAGCCCAGCAATCTCGAGAGAAAGGCTAAGCATGTCAGCTTGCCAATCGCATCTAGCTCTCTCGGAGAAGAGTTATACACATGCAGACATAGCAACTCGTTCAACAAACTACAACGTATTGTAGCGTACATGTTTCGCTTCTGCTACAAAACTAATAGAGCACCTACAACGACACTTTGCGCAGGAGAACTAAGGCGTGCTCGCACTATGATCCTACGAACGATTCAACAAGTTGAGTTCACAGCGGATTTAAAACAATTAAAACGCTATAAAACATTGGATAAAAAGAGTTCGATCATTTCGTTATCTCCCTTACTAGGAGATGATGAGCTCATCCGAGTTGGCGGAAGACTCGAAGAAGCTCAAATTCCGTTCAATGCAAAACATCCAATCCTGCTACCGTACAACGACCCAATAGTCAAAATGATTATGCGTGAGCTTCATGAGGAAAATCTGCATTGCGGTGCCCAAGCATTAAGGGCAATCGCAAGACAACAATATTGGATTATCAACGACAAGACGATGGCTAGAAGCATCATACATAGCTGTATGAGATGCACCAGAGCCAGACCAAAGCTGATGCACCAGATCATGGGCAATCTTCCAGCACAAAGAGTCACGCAAGCACGCCCATTCCTTAATGCAGGCGTTGACTACTGTGGACCAATTATGATCCACCATAAAATCCGAGGAAAACGGCCAGATAAGGCATACATTGCCGTATTCTGCTGCTTCTCCACAAAGGCTGTACATCTGGAGTTAGTAAGTGACTTAACCACAGATGCATTCTTGGCAGCACTCCGGCGATTCCTTAGCAGACGCGGGAAGTGTCAGACTATTCATTGCGACAACGCAACAAATTTCGTCGGCGCAAATAACAAGCTAAAGGAATTGAAAGAAGCAATATTTAGCGAAAAGGCACATGCTCTGATCACAAATCATTGCAACAAAAAACAAGTGGATTTTAAATTCATTCCTCCTCGGGCCCCATCGTTTGGCGGCCTCTGGGAAGCTGCGGTAAAATCAGCGAAAAGGCTGTTAGTTACAACCACAGAAACAGCATCCTTGACGTTTGAGGAGCTGAACACAGTCATAATCGAAATTGAAGCAATTCTGAACTCCCGACCCATAACTCCAATGTCAAATGATCCAACGGATACAAGTGCGCTTACTCCAGGGCATTTCCTGATCGGTGAACCTTTGACCGCAGCACCTGACGTCAACACCGATCGTCAAGAGAAAACTCTGGTTAAGCGCTGGGAATTGGTTTCACGCTTAAAGCATGCATTTTGGAAACAATGGTCTACGGAATACCTCCACGAACTACAAACTCGCCATAAATGGAAAACCACCGCTCCAAACGTGACCGAAGGATTATTAGTTTTGGTGAAGGAAGACAACCTTCCAGTAATGAAATGGCCAATGGGTCGCATCATCAAAACTTATCCTGGGCAAGACAACCATGTACGAGTGGTTGATGTCAAAACATCGTCCGGCGTATACAAACGCCCCATCAGTCGTCTCGCCCCATTATTCTCAGAGGAGGTAGCAACAAAACGCTCCAAAAATGCTATTCAAGACATTGCGGAAATAAAGGAGCCACCAACACAGCGAAAAAGGTTATCATTACCTACACTAACATCCACATTGGTAGTGTTACTTCTCATGCTGCCATTAGCATGTTCACAATCAATAAATGTGACGCAATTTGCAAACAAGCCCGGAATATTCTATGAGAAACTTGGAACCTCAAGAATGACCACTTCCGAATGGACCATGATTGTATACTACGACTTGGATCCATATTGGAAGGATATGCAAGTCATGTCAGCCGGAATGTCCGAACTAAGACACATGTGCCCTGAACTAAAAAATGTTCCAGCGTGCAACTCCATATTTCAACACTTTCAACATTTGTACAAAGAACTACAAACAGGAAATATGCTAATGAAGGCCTCTCGACAACGCAGATCACCGCTGGATATAGTAGGAAACGTGGCACACCAGCTATTCGGTGTACTTGACTCTACATATGCTGAGAAAATGGCTAAAGTAATCGAAAAGGTACAAACCAACGAAGACTTTCTGCTACATCTACTACGAAATCAAACGTCAATTGTCGACTCCACAATGAACGTGATCAGGAAGGATAAGTCATCCATGGACAACCGCCTAAAGGTATTGGAACAACAAGTGGCAACCATCAGCCGAGAAAGAGGAACATATCATGGCGATCATCTAATTCAGTCATACCTAGGGCTCACAGCACAACTAACTCTGCTGACAACGAGTCTTCAACGTATGCAGTCTGACATATCTGATGTATTAATCGGCATTCACCATCGGACAATAAGCCCAACGCTAGTATCTCCTGAGCAATTAAGAGAGCAACTAGACCAAATCCGGGATCACTTGCCAGCTGATCAAATGCTGCCTGTCACAACACAAAATGTGATACAATTATACAGGCTAATGCGAGCCGAAGGAACACTGACTACCACACACGTCATTTTCAAGGTGACACTACCGTTAGTTTCAACAGTGCAGCTCGAAGTTTTCAGTATCATGCCGATTCCTGTCTGGGACTCAACAAGTTGGAGCTTGTTCAATCTCAAAACGACCATAATCACTGTAAACACTCACCGAGATCAATTCATGGGATTTACTCCAGAAGAATTTCGACGCTGCTTTAAACTACTCAACGCAGAATACATCTGCTTTGATCATCAAACAGTCTTCAATGTCGACAATCGCTGTGAGTTTCAGCTGTTTAACAATAACACAGCACCTTTATGTGAAGTGACCCACACGAAGGCGGACATGGTGTGGTCCAAAACTCAGCAAGCAAATAAATGGATTTTTGCAACACACTCTACAATGAGACTTCAGGCAGTTTGCAACGGCTCTCCATCAACCATACAACTAGAAGGAACTGGCTTGCTCTCACTGTCACCTGGATGCACTGCTCGCAATACAGAAATAAGCATCAGTACCTTCAGCACAACAATCAGTGAAGTCAAATCAGCCTACACTCGATTTGGGGACATACGCTTACCAACGACACCCCCTTCGCCAGCAACTGCACAATTGGAGAACCAGACATCAGACTATCTTCAAGAATTGGAAGATTTACGCCTGCAATTAGTGGCAATCAATCAACAAAGGCTGCCACACCATCTCAACACAGTGCAGCATCATCAAATCGCTACTTATGCTGCCCTAGCAATATCAATGCTATTGATTATTGCGTTCATTCTCCGGAAGAAGTATCGATCATGGAACCCAAGGCCGTCAACAATCAACCAAACAGAGCCACGCGGATCATCACCGCCCATTCCACGCCGCTTTTCAGTCGACTTGGGCGATGGTTGAACACCAGTTCAACGGCCGGGAGAATGTTCAGTCGCATATTTATGCAGTAATTAATATTACATAATATACACTTATCGAATAAGTCAGGTCGACCCATGTAACGGGAGACATAATAACAAACGACAAGGCATTGTAGCTGAGTCAAAAATAACCGCTTCTGCAGCAATTTCTGCCAACGATGCGATCGCTCGTCAGAGGGCAAAAACACTGGTGCAATTGCTGACTATCACAATTGCCCAATAACACAATATCATATTAAATCCAAATTAATTCAATATTAATTCCAATTCCCTTTTACCATATTCTTACTAGACTCAGCACTTTCTGTACCTTTTGTTACCTATAAATAGAAATTAAGTTTGTTGAATAAAATCAGTATCAGAAACAGTACCATCACTGCCTGTTCACTCATTCTCTACAACTGCAATCAACAGAGGCTGTCGCCGTGTCTTCAGACCCTCATTTGCTCGACGTAGGAATCCCTCTCCGCAGTCCAACTGGTTCAAGTTCTAGTTGCGACGACAAATTTGTAGACGGTTTATGTACCGTATGCATACCAAAACACACACACAATCACATATTAACAGAGAGAAAGAGACGAGTGTAATTAGAGGGAATGGGGGGAGGTAAACTTTAATTTGCGTGTGCATTCGGGGCACAAACACCCATCAAAAGTGACCCAAAAAACATGCCAACATGCGACAAAAGTGGGGCAAAGGCAAACCAAATTCAAAATAACAGGAAAAGATGAAAAAGCACACAGGGAACAAATTAAATAAATAGGTGAATGGATGAAATCAGCGTGAATCAGTGTTTGAGTGTATGAATGGGTGGCCCTAAAGCCTCTCTCTGTCTGTGTTCATCGCAATTTGAAAATGTCAACATTTGTCGGGGTTTTTTGTTTGTATTTTTTTCTAAATTCACGAAAAGGGCTATCATTGTTGCTTTGGTTCAAATTTGTATAATTTCTCATTGTTGTGTGTTTGAAAAAAAAGTCACAGCGCGCTTTCTCTCGCCTGAGAATGAGAAACGAAAACAAAAGTCGCCGTATGACGAATATGAGAAATTTCGGGTGTGTTTTTTGTCTATCCAGCAGCAAGTCGAAACCCCCCCAAAAAAAACCAACAAACAAAAAAACTGGAATCAGTTGGCGTGACTCTTCTTCTTTCCCTACCACCAAATGGAGCGCACCACACTTCTCCTCCCCAATGACCTCCCCTGCAATACCTAAAATCCGAGCCATTCCTATAGCACATAGCACATCGGAACGCATTTGTTCCGGATTTAGGTGTAAACATTTTGCCAACTTATTTTGTTGTTGTTTAGAGTTCAGTTCTCCTTTGTGCTCGTTTTTCTTATTTTTTTATACCCGTACTCAAAAAAGAGTTAAGGGGTATATTAGATTTGTGGTAAAAGTGGATGTGTGTAACGCAGAGAAGGAAAATTTTCCGACCCCATAAAGTATATATATTCTTGATCAGCATCAATAGCCGAGTCGATATAGCTATGTCTGTCTGTCCGTCTGTCTGTCTGTCTGTCTGTCTGTCTGTCTGTCTGTCTGTCTGTCTGTCTCGATGAGCGCCTAGATCTCAGAGACTATAAGAGCTAGGGCAACCAAATTTGGTTTCCAGACTCATGTGATATCCCACTGCTACAAGTGTATTTCAAAATTTCGCCCCGCCCCCTTCCGCCCCCACAAAGAACGAAAATCTGTGGCAGGCACATTTTTAAAGATACGATAAAACTAAAAACGCAGTATCGTAGAGAATGCCCATATCTACCAGATTGCCGAATCTGAATCAGATCGGATCATAATTATAGCCAGAATGAAGAAATGAATTTTCTGTTGGTTCCCTCTCCTTCTCCAGCGCTGCTGACGCTACTGATTCTCTTTCTCGCTCGCACACTCTGCCGCGTTCAGTGCGCGAGCAACCCCTAGCGGAGGAGATGTAGAATATAAATGGTACATGTACAATCTACATGTTAGATGTGGAATATACATTGTAGATGTAGATGTAGATAACAGATGTAGCAAAAAAATGTAAAATGTAAAATTTTTTTTTTTTTTTAAATTCTAAAAAATCATTAGCTCAAAAATGTATATACAGACTGAGTACGGGTATAAGTAGAGTCGCGTCCCCAGAAGCGACTCACACGTTCCTTCTCGTTTTTTATGTGTTTTTAATTGCCACTTTTGGCGTGGGGTGGGGTGTGGCTGGGAGCTGCTTTTTAAGTATTTCCACAGTAAGTGGGGTTGTGCTCTCCCCGTACCCAAAGGTACTTGAAATCATATCAATGCCGGAAAGTCAGAGTGTTAGCCTAAACAAACATTTAGTTCTGGGAAACTTTGGGAAAACTATAAAATTTATGCACATTTTCTGCTGACTGGCGGCGTCAAACTTAATTGAAATTTTAGTGTTCCATTAATATATGGAGACGGGAAAAGGTTAGAGGAATGTGTGCCTTAACCGATTTTCAAGTGTCATAATTATGTAACCTGCTGCTGCTGCTCCGATTATGAAAACATTTCCGCCTAAATACGAGCATGTGTGTGTGTGTGTGTGTGTATGAGCTTTTAATGAATTAACGAAACTCAAAGCAAAGTTCGCTCCAAGCCGTAATTGGACAATAGATGAAAACTCATTCGATGATTACACACAAAAATCAGAAAAAAACAAAAAAAAAACACTTTACTTCAGCGACCAACAAACTGCACTGCACAGCACAGCGAATGAATCGAACAAAGGTTATAGTAAATGAAGGCAGCGCGTTAGATGGAGAGATTGGGAAACAAAATGAAAAGTTTTAATGACTGTAACTGCCAGCTACCACTACCACCAACACAGAGCCACGGGGGAAAACAATTGACAGGGAAAAGACAGCGACAAAAAGCGAGAACTTTGGATGGGAAGTTGATTGCAAAAAAAAAGCAAGAGAGGTTTCCAAACAGGAACTGTAGAGCCGATGATAGGAATGCCCTTTGTTGAATCGTTTCTAGGGCAAAGCCTTGGATGCATTCGCTTACTCTTCAACAAAGAAACACCTTTGAGCCATGAAACCGCTTTAGATGCCACATCCTTTGACCATGCTAATGCACTTCCTTCCACTCTGTTCTCGGATAACCTTCTGTATTATAGCCACTATACCCTCCTTTCGGGCAAGGGCATCTCTAAGCCTAACACACAAATCAAATCAAATCGAATCGAACTTTTGCCTCTGCCGGAAGTTTGAGAGGTTGAACGCCCTCGACACGAGCAACTTTTGGCTAGGAAGTCCTTAAATCGTTCCAATTGCCGTCGTTTTAATCGATTTTCCACACATTTTTCGCCGGTGTGGAAAAGTTATCCACTCCATACCACTGTCCCTATTCCTACGATATCTTTGTTAGGGTCAAAACTGGGTTGCAGTTTCAGGTTTTTGGGTTTTTTTTCTCAGTTGTTTTGTTTCTGTTGCGACTTTGATTGATATTGTGTGACACACTCTCGGATTTAATTTCAATTTTCGTCATAGTTGCAGCCCCACATACGCTACGTTTTTCGGAGAGCTGTCACGTAATATTCAATCTGTGGCCCATTGAAATGCTCGCGACATGGTTTCTGGGGGCATGTGTGTGGGAAGTTTTCAGTAAAAACTGATCTGTTGACACAGAGCAAAGCCCAAATGAATGAAACAAACACAATTTGAGCACTCACCTTCAACTTGCCGTACGATCGTCCGTCCTTCCTTCCTTCCTCTTTCGCTTAAGCAGCTGCTGCACACTTTTCAAATTTTCTTCTCAAGTTTTCATTCGATTGGATTGTTCATTGAGATTCTTGCGCATATTCAGTTATTTGTAAACACAAAATTTCGTCGAGATTCCGCTATTTCATTATTTTGACATTAGGCTGAAACATTTTTTGTTGCGATTTTCTTTTGCTGCTGCAAAGAAATTAACGAATTTATTTATTTATTGCATTTTTCCTTCGATCGATCAAACAGATCTTTCTCTCATAGTACGTTCAAGAGAAGGTAAGGCAGTGCACATGCGGCTACCTTGAGAGCCGCACTGCCTTACCTTCCATTTAGCTGCATTTCTCTCTTTGCGCGAAAGACTTGCTTGAATGAGTAAGTCGAGCAAGACAGAGAGCGACAGAGGCAGAGCGAGAGCGAGAACAGGTTTACGTTTTCTTTAATGCTGGCGGGCACCGTTAGGAAGAGCGAGAGAGGGTATGATTATGTTGATGCTTTGTTATAGTTATTGCTGTCTTTTTCCTTTGCATTAGGTTACGTGCGAAGATTTGGCAAGCAGCGGCCCCCCAGCAGCTAATTGGGACTGCACACACAGACACAAAACAAAGGTAAAGGGAACATAGAGAGGGAGGGGGGGCGGGTAGACGCCAGCCAAGCGCAAGAAATGGAACAAGCTATACAAACAGCCGTATGGGAATTACACATCAAGGTGTAATCAAACCAAAAGCTAGCTACATATATTCCCTGATCAGCAAATCATTTTAAACTCCACTAGAAAGTTTACCTTTTTTTTGTAGTAGAATATCCAGAAAAGATGAGGTGGAGAAACCAGTTTGGAGCTAGCTGGGCTAATCTGGAACTGTTTGCATTTGCAGTTTATCAAAAAAACACGACTGGAAAACAGTTAGTTTGACAGCTTCTGTGAGTCATTGGAAGACCAAAAGAATTATGGCTTTCAGACTGGAATCATTGGAAATATGCACTTTCCATTAGCACTTTACTGTACAATTACAAAAATCGCACATGGAATACGAATATATGAATGTGTTGTAGGTACTTGTGTCAATTGTAGTACATACTTGGCGTGTGTTTTGCTTATGAGTTCGGTCGGTATGGGTCGATTCGATGGGTCTGGCACTGAACGATTATGCAAAAATAAATCAATTGAAAAACAACAAGAACGCCTCGGGAAAACGCCACAAATAAAACCCCTGTGGGGGTGGTGACAGAGAGGCAGACCGAGAGGGGGAGGAATCTGTAACAAGTGCCTTCCTTTACCTCCTGGAAATACAGGGGGCTCTATGCTCTGGGGCTGGTGTAACTGTTGCTTGAGATTTTTTATAGAAACCAAAGAGCCACCCTGTAAGCACGCATACACACACCTAACCCACCTACACACACGTACATATGTAGAGCAAAACGAGTCTGCGGCTGCGGCAGGGGGGCAAAAAAAGGACAGACAAAATAAGACACGACGAGACAGGCACGGCACAGATGTCTCAACTAGTGTGGGGGGGAGAGAGAGAGAGACAGAGATAGAGAGGAAGAGCAAATAAGACACACTTAAACACACTCTCTTTTCTAAGCAGATTAAACGTACGAAATCACCTTGCTCGATTTTTGCCATATTTGTCTTTCTTTTTCACCTGTCTTTCTGCTGATTTCTGCAGAGTTTATTTTGTTGTTCTTATTTGATTTCAATGTTGTTTTGTTGCACGTGTATGTGTGTGTGTATTGGTGGCAATTGCAGGTTGCATCACTTCCCCCGTCTCTTTCTCGCACTTTTCCAGGGCCTTTTGTTCACTTTTCACGCAATAAATTATAATTAAGTTTGCATTTGTTACATTGATAGCACATTTGTTGTTGTTGTTGCTGATTGCTGGTTGGCGTGGGTGAGTGACCCCGCTAATTACACACGATTTTTCCCGTTATTCCACACCCGCGCGACTTACGCATTTTTCACCCTTTTCCTTTAGTTTAAAGCGTGTTTTAATTATTGTTAAATGTAAAATCAATTCTTATACTCGCACATGCTGTATTTTTTTGGAAACCACGGCTTTTTTATGCGACATTTCCCGTTGCCACCGTTTGTTGTTTTGATTTTTTCGATAGGTTAAAAAAGGTAAGGCACAGGTTCCTATTTAGGTACCTGATTCAGATACCCTGGCTGTCGGATTTGAATTGGGCGGCAAATTTTGAAGAGCTTAAAATAATGAAAAAAAAAAACTGAATGACAAATGAATCACGTTGTATTAAAATAAATTTTAATCATGCTATGAAATGATTGTAAGAAATATATCCATTTATCCAGTATGATCCAGTAAAAAGAGAGCAAGTTTCTCTCTCCGAACTCATTTTTGCGTTAACTTTGCAATTTGATATGCAATAATAAATATTATCTGGGCAAAGTAAAAAAATTGTTCGCGCTACCATGAAACAACAAAATATTGCCAAATATTATTCTTCACAAGTTCGCTGAGTACGAAAATTAATATCCATTAATCATTTTTTAAATCATATTATTAATAGTAACGAAAAAGAAGATTCATTGTTGCTACAGTTCCCGTAAGATACATGTGGCTCGAACCACGAAAAGAGAGAAAATTTTTAAAAACCACAACGATTTGAGAGCTCTACTTGTTGATAGGTTAAAAAAGGTAAGGTGCAGGTTCCTATTTACGTACCTTGTTGTTTTTATTGATAGGTTAAAAAAGGGAAGGTACATGATCATATTTAGGATACCCTGGCTGTCGGATTTGAATTGGGCGGCAAATTTTGTGTCAGACCTGGTATTTGGTAAAAGAGCTTAAAATGAAAAATGAATTAAATGAAAAATGAATCACGTTGTATTCAAATAATTATTAATCATGTAAGAAATATATCCAGTAGAAAGAGAGCACTTTGCGCTCTTCGAACTCTTTTCTGCGCTGAAAGTATGAGCACGCTCGAGTTAACAGAACCTGTTAAATGTTAACATTCATGCTAAATGAATGTAGAATACGCCTATTAAATGGCGATAAATTCGAATATGGAATCAACTTAAAGTAGTTCATGTTTCTTTTCAAACTGCCCATACATTTTAGGTAAATATACATTTATTTCATTTAATGATTTCTTGCTTGTCCAACAATGTATGTAAATATTCAGCTAACGTTTTCAAATCTGTTTGAATAGTACAACTAATGGATTACAACAATTGATTATTACCGTCGCACGTACAATAATAATAGTAGGGGCGGGGCTAGTGGTTAGGGGGAGGGGCTCTTGATAAAAAAGTAAAAAATCGACTCGTAGGATAACAGAACGGTGAGAGAAACAATTCTGTCAAATACTTGAATTTCAATATGCACATCAATCTGCACATTGATCGATATAACATACATATACATATATATATATATAGTAGGTAGGGTAGGGTAGGGTATAGGTTTAAGGTATGTATTTGTATTTGTATATATATACTGTATCTTATGCTTAGGTATATCCTTCTTCATGAGTGTAGAATCACAGCCTTTTCATCGAACTAGCATTGCAGCATGCAGTTCTGTTGTGTTTTTGTTGAATTGTCAAGTATTTCCGTTGTGGGTGATATATTATGCATATATTAAATATAATTAGTCGCTAGTGGGGGGGGGGGGGTGTTAAGTAATCATAATCATACCAACAGTGTAGCAGTGATTTATCGGTTTTGTTTAACAATAAGTAGGGTCCAGGCTTGGTTATAGATCGCGGATTGGTACGGTACTCTTTTTCTTATATACAAAATAAATATATAAATTACGACATAGGGGGTGTGGGGTGGTGGGTTGGTGGTGCAATTGCTTACCACTTACAGTTAAGGCAAACATTCCAACTAAGACATGGGCTCATCTATTGTAGGTTTCTGTTCGTGTGTCTCAACAGAATATATGTAGGTATGTATATATTAGCTAAACAATCTAATTCAATTTGTTACTAAGTACTCGTACATTTTAGACTAATTGCTTTTTAGGGGGAAGGGTGGCGGGGGTGCAACTACGCTACGGGTCAACTAAGGGCGTAATTAACTAACATAACATTGTATTATTAATCGGTGTCGAAAGGCCACATATTTAGACTGAAAGCACACATGTGTTAGGTTTTTTTGTAAGGTTTCTACTAGTTGTTGCGGTGTGCCACCGTAGGGAGGCGCTCCATTTTGCATTCTGGCGCTCGATCAGGTAATCGTCGTTATAATCTGATTCTTAGACCCATAATCGGTGATTCTGCAATAACAACGAAAAATACATCATCATTTAGTTACAATTTAAAGGTCTAAAAGGAGTGGGGGAATCGCCAAAGCAATTTACAAATAAAAAGACACAAAATCATAAGTAAACTCGGCAAACAAAGGTGTAACGCAGGCGTCGTGCAGGTAGGAAGGTAAACAACTATTCGTATTCATATTTTGTGCCTTTTTACCTATAGATTGATGAGGCTGAGGTGGAGCGCGACCAAGTAACTAACAAACCCTCACCTCTGCTGCACTCCCGCTGGCTGTGCAGTAGAACCCTTGTGCTGTCGTCGGGGCACAGCGAAATGCGCACCGTTGTCAATATTAGGCTGCAAAGGAACACACAGAAATTTCAATTAATTACAAGTTATCCCTGTGCGTAGTGTGGTCTTGGTCTTACCGTGGCAGCACAGCCACCACTGTCGACAGGAGTATCACCAGCCAGTGGACGGCGGAGCAGATGCACACAAAGATCACCCAGTAGGTGGAGGGCAGGCCAAAGCAATTGACGCACCAATAATTGTACACAAACGAGAAGAGGTAGAAGGAGGCCAGCGAGACCACAATGGATATGACATGCAGCACAGTCTACACAGGAAACAAAAGGAGATTAACTATCGTTAGGTGGGGGCACCACATTGCCTTGTATTTACCCAGGAACGTATTTCAATGCAACAGTGCACCAGATTGGCAAACAGACAGGAGGCCGTGATCGTTGTACCAAACTCCCAGATGCCCACATCGCTCTCCGCATAGGCGCACAGCGCCACAAAGAAGATGACCAGACTCTGATAGAGTGCATCCAGTAATATCAACCAAAAGTCGTGCGGCCTGTATGCAACGCCCAAGCGACCCTGAAAATCCAAACAAAAGTAAATTAAGGATATTGAAAACTGCAGTTGGGGGGCTGAATAAGCTCACATTCTTGTAGAGATACGGATTCTTGAGTAGCAGATCCTCGGGCACCCGCTTGTCGTAGACACCAATGGCCAGGGGCGGCAGTGAGGTGAATATCAGATTGTACAGCATCAGATACATTTGATCCATCATCACGGAGCCAGAGAAGCCGCAATACAATTGATACCAGAATATCAGAAATACAAAGGCCTGCAAAGGAGATCAAATCGTATATAAACGCAGCTCAGAGTGGAATAAATCGAATGTTTCGTACCGCATTCTTGTAGAAGAAGTAGAGAATCATGCGGGACAATCGATCGTAGCACCAGTAGCCATGCGAGAGCAAGAGCCGCTCCAGGTAGCGAAAGCGAGAGAGCGTAAAATCGGCAGCCATTACAGCCTGCATGCCCTCCTGCCCGGAGATGCCCACACCCACATCGGCCATCTGTATCATGGACACATCATTGGCCCCATCCCCAATGGCCAGTGTGCGCAGATTGAGCTCCTCCTTGACGACTTTAACCAGATAGGCCTTCTGCAGCGGCGTCGAACGGCAGCAGAGCACAGAAGCGCATCGCTTGGCCAGTCGCAGAAAGGGCAGAATCAGCTTGGATCTGCAACAAATCAAACAATTAGATATGGCTCAGTTCTGTATAGACTTCAGCTTACTTTGGATCCAATATAAAGGTCAACGTTTTGCCGTCCACCACCAAGGCGCGTGGCTTTCTGCGCAGCGTCTGGCTGTAGCCTATGGAGGATGTGGGCTTTGCGTTCTCCATATCCGTCAGGTAGAAATTGATGGCCGTCTCGGCTGCATCGCGCGAGCGTGCTGTCAGTCTGCATGCAAATAATTCCGAATTAGTCACTCAGTTGGGGGCGTTAACCGGACTCAATACTCACTTGATCAACTCCATTTGCTGGGTGAATAGCTTCGCGGAATACGCTATATTTATGGCCGTCTCGGGCTTGTCTCCCGTCAGCACCCACACGGAGATGCCCGCCGCAAGCAGCGATGCTATCGTCTCGGGCACACCGTCCTGCAGGCGATCCTCAATGCCAGTGGCGCCCAGCAGCGTCAGATTGCTCTCCAGCTTCGCGAAGGAGTCGCGCAACCTGCGCTCGCGATTCTCCAGCGACATCTCAATCTCCTGGTGGCGCGCCCACCAGTCCGTGTAGTCCGCGGAGTTGAGGGTGCGCTTGGCCATCACCAGAATGCGCAGACCCTCGCGCGCATAGCGATCCAGCTGCTGTTGGGTCTGCTCCCGCAGCATGCCCTCGGGGCTGTTGTGCGGACAGGGCGACAGGACGGGCATGATGGTGCTGTCCGCGCCCTTGCAGTAGAGCACTATCTCCTGGGTGCCCGTGCGACGGACCACAATCGACATGCACTTGCGACTCGAGTCGAAGGGCAGGATCTTGAGTATCTCATACTCGACGGTGGCCGCAGCCGTCGGCATGCTCACGAGGATGTGGTTGGGGCTGCGATTCAGCAGGCAGCAGTCGTAGCTGTAGGCGGCATTCACCAGAGCCAGCTCATCCGGACTCTCGGCCTCGTACAGCGGACGACCATCGGCGGTTCTATAGATGGTCTCCGTTTTGGTTGAGCTGAAAGGGGCATCAGAATTTGGTTATGAAATCCATTGACAAAAGTCCCCTTGGCCTCACTTACTTCATTTTCAGGCGCTTTCCTTGGGTCTTGGCATTCAGGAAGGTCGCTATGCTGGTTATCTTCGAGTTGATGGCCGCCTTGGCCCTGCCCGTGGGCGAGATGCTGTTGGACAGCGCCTTGCTCTTCATGGGCGGCGATGGCGACTCCGACTCCGAGTTGGGCGACGATTCCGCCGAACTGCTGATGGGCGACAGCGTGGGCTGATGGCTCTGGGCGGGCAGCGCAAAGATTAGATTCGGCGGCGGCGATGGGGTCACGGATCGCGACTCTGCCAGCCGCATATAACGATCCACTGGAATGGGAATGGATCCTGCCGGCTGCTGCTGCTGTCCATTCAGTATGGTAGTCGTGGTCGTTGTGGTGGTCGTGGTGCTAGCCAGCAGCTTCTGTCGCTGTTTGTTGAGCTTCAGGTTCGCCGGACTGCAGCCCGTTTGCTGCTGCTGCTGCTGCTGCTGCACCTCAATTATGCCGCTGGCATTCATCAGGTCCCGATGCGGTGCCGCACTCACAATCACCGTGTTGCATATCGCCAGCACCACCAGGAACTCCTGTATGCGCTGTGCGTGCGGCGTTAGATACGCTCCCTGCGTCAGCAGTGCCATGTCATTCGTCAGCGTGTCATTGGGCACCAGCGGGGGCGCCGGTGCGCCCGGCTTCGAGTACATCTTCTCCAGCTCCGAGGGCGGGTGATTGTAGTCCGCTCCATTGACGACACAGCGGCGAAAGATCATCTTGTTCTCGGTGAGGGTGCCCGTTTTATCCGAGAATATGTGCTGTATCTGGCCGAGTTCCTCGGTGATGTTCATGGCACGGCACTCGGTCTGCTTGTTGGTGTCCGCGTCGTACAGATCGATGTTGTTGTGGATGTGAAACACCTGCAGGATCTTGCACAGCTCGATGGTGACGTACAGCGACAGCGGTATCATCACCTGCAGTATGATGATGTACGTCCAGAAGGTCCACATGCCCTCCAGATTGGCATTCACCTCGAACGGCAGATACGGCACCGGAAAATTCGTAAATGAACTCAGCCACATGGTGCAGCCGATGGCCCCAACAATGCACAGTATAAACAATATTATCACACACCTGGGCGCAACAAGGGGCGAAAGATGATTAATGGATAACGAACATAGATTGAGACGCCTATGCACTCACCATATCACATCAATATTCATCTGCTGTTCCACCTGGGAGCGCTTGTACCTTGGACCACTATTATTCAGCATTGACTTTGTTTCATGTCCCGCATAGACCACAATACCCTCGATATAGTCCGTATTCTGTACAGGAAAATCACACAACAAATTAAGAGATTTTAAGTGAGATTCTTTAGAGCAGAGGTGGGACTTACCTTCAGTCTACTTTCTCTTAGCAAAAGGCACTCGGTCGATATGGGCACACGCTCCCCAGTTGGATGTATTAAGGCCCCATGAAATCTATATAATTTTGTTGTCGGCGCATCCGCCTCCACGCGGCTAACAAATTTGCTAGGCACAAATATGCTCTGCAACTCCTCAAAGCCACGTACAACCTGCACACAAAGAAATAATCAATTTAAATTTATATATTTATTTATTTATATTTATATATTTATATTTATATATTTTAGATATGCAAATATCACGTACCTCGCGACGCTTCAGATTCGTTTCGCCATCCAAATCACAGGTGTCTATGTAGCAGACCCCATGGGCCTCGCTGCTGCGCAGCAAAAGAATGTCCGCGGGCACTGTCTCGTTGTTCGAGAGATGGACAATGTCCCCGACACGCAGGTCCTGCCATTTAACCCGCTTGTAGCGCTCCGTCTCACTGCAGAAGAGGATGACAAAACACGCACACAAATTGTTATTAATTATGTTATCAAACGGAGTGCCATTTAAATGAAAGGTTTAACATGATTCATCGATTCATCGATTAAGTCTGCAGCTGCAAAGCAGCCCCCGCAAACATTTGTCACATTTCCCCTTTAAAGTTTTCAGTTCCAGCCAAAGTTTTGCCCCTTAAATATTTAAATAATCAGACATGTAAAAGGCCTACAAATGTCAGTGGATCCTTGAACATGAACATGTCATATAACGCTGCCCATGTACCTGTTCATGTCCATGTCCATGTCCATGTCCCTGTCCCTGCACATGTCCCTGCCCATGTCCCTGTCTAATGGGACGCGTATATGGACACAGCACAGATAATCCCCACATGTGAGAGCCATGTACAATATTCATGAATGATTCGTCATAGCCCATCCATGTCTCCAATTATTGTCAAATGAACACATTGATGGGTCGTATGCCTGCCCCGCCACGCAAGACAATTTACATGCGAGCAGGCCACACCACACCACACCACACCACGCGACGCCACGCCAGTTGGCTGTTCGGGGCAGGTTCATAGGGGGGGTTTTTCAGGGAAAGTAGTCGGTGGGAGGGAGCTGCTGTGCCTGGCCTGCTGCTGCTTCGGCTGATGGACATTCGAGCAAACAGTGAAAACGCAAAGTGCTCTCCACTCCACACTCTACACACAGTTACCCATTTAATGTGTGGCGGGGTAGCAGTGGGTCAGGTCTGGTCTCGCATGTGGGTTGGTTATTAAAGTAACAAGTAAATTGCTAAATAATAAGCCGTCACATTGCCCTCGACCTTGGCCGAAAGATGATGATGACGATGATGGACGGAGGAGTAGGAGGAGCAGCAGCAGCGGTGCCGTTCCATGGCAAATAAAGGGCCTTTATTTTGCGTCATGCTGGAAATTTTCATTCGCTTTCATTTTTATGATTTTTATAAAGTTGCTCATGGTTCGGGGGAATCCCCAGCTCTCTGCCCCCTGCCCATCCTGCAATGGCGTCATCTATCGCTCCTTTGCGCTGCTTAGATATTTATGAAAAAAGCGAGAGAGAGAGATAGAGGACAGAGGGTCCTGCGGTTGAACAAGGACATGGACATGGCACACACCACACACAATACGAGTATTCCCATTTAATTCAAGTTCATTTGGCCAGGCGAACGCCAAATTGTTATGGTCGGAAAATATGTAAGTTTTCAACACTCGCGTGTCCTGCACTGCTCCTCCCCTCTCCATGTAATCTCATGCCCTGACCAACACAAACCAGACCACCAGACCCAGTTGCTCCTCTGCGGCCACTCTCTGCTCTGCTCGGTCACACTCCACTCTGCTGCTGTTGTTGTGTTGTCAGTGTCATGTGGCATGTGGCGATGTCCTTGCATTGCTTTCGGTTCCAGATTGTTTTCGTAACCAGAGGGTATTCTGGTGTTTGCAATGCGCCAAAAAGAAGTATCTGCCATGGAAGAAAGGTAACCAAAGAGCGGAATAACTTTTGGACACCTTTTGAACACATTTTGAACACCTTTTGAACACCTTTTGAACACCTTTTGGACACCTTTTGTTGCAGTGTAAAAGTGTCGAAATATTCAGTTTCAAGGCTACAATTACTTTACCCCGCCCATTCCTCCCAGGGTATCAAATGTGTTGACCATCACGGAGTGCACTGCTGTTCCTGTTTGGTTGTTTATTCTGTGGTGTTGTGACATGGCCTGACATTTGGCTGACAGACAGACAGACAGACAGACTGACTGACAGGCCACAAAGTAGACAAAGTAATACACCTGCCATAGTCCTGACTCCTGTCCTGTGCTGTCCTGCCTGCCTGGCTGCCTGCAGTTCTTACTTGGGAATGGGAGCATACGGTGGTGAAAGCTTTTGCCATAATTTTAATTGGGTCATTAGCCAGATTGCAGCACATTCTAACGCATTCGACGAACAACGAGCGGCGACTCTCTCCCCTGTAGTTCCTTCTGCTCTGCACTCCCTCTCGAGGGGGGGGAGGGTAGGGGTTCCATGTAATTATATTTGTTCAAGTTCGTTCTGGTTCTTGTTCTCTCCTGGCTTGGCCTCTGTCTCGGGGTCTTTGCAGTTGCCTTTTGCTGGTCTCTTGATTGCATTTCTCTAATTGACTGTTTCTTTGTTAACATGCCCCCCGCCCCCCCCCCCCCCTCCCAGCAGGCGGACAGACTGAAAGACCGACCGAGCGTTGGCTCCACAATGCATTCTCTCAGTCTCTCCGTCGCAGTTGCTTTCATAATTGTAATCGACTTTTTTCTCTTGCTTTAATTCATTATCTGCTGCACAAAATTTCTCGATAAGATATTACCTCGTTCCCTCCGTATACACCTGATTCCGTTTTGCTGTCAAGTGGCTTATTCCTGTGATATGACGACATCCCCCCCCATACCCGTCCAGCCATCCATCGCTCCCATAAACCTGTATTGTTCAGGCTTTTATTATATCTACAATCTCCAATCGGAAGACTAGAGATTTATTGGCACACAACACAACACAACAAACAATTTACTTTATTTCTGGGAACTAGTACGAGTGTATTCCTACAATAATGATGATGATGATGATTATTTATTGTACGATAAATAATCATGAAATTTCACAATTAAACTGGAACCTTTTTTTGTTTTTTTTTTGATAATAAATCTCAATGTTGTTTGCTAATTGTTCATAGAAATATTGTGTTCTTTTTATCAGAATTAATCTAGGAGTTTATTTTTGGGGGAGCGGTGTGCCAGTATTATTTGCTCTACTGAAGGATTTTTTCCAAGCTGCTTGGCATAAACTTTCTAGTTGCCAAAACACCTTTAATTTAATTAGAATTTATTGCCTTCCATTTAAATTTCTTATCAGCTTTATATAATCTATAAATCGTATAGTTTCTGGTGGTCATAAACCTTTCTACTTTAATTTAAATTTATGATATTTTTCATCATTATATTTATTTATGGAATTTCTTTGGGATCTCCTCAACTCTTTCGGCTGCTTGCATGTTCTCTTTTTTATTTATTTAAATTTCTTTTATATTTATTTGAGTAGTTTTTTTGGCCCCACCTACCTCCTCTCGCTTTCCTTCCAGCAGCCCATTATTTGTTTTTTTTTTTGTGTTTTTTTTTTGCCATATTCGTGTGTGCTTTTTGTTTTTACTTTCACTGTAAGATTTTTAGGTCACGTGTTAGTCATACGCTGACCGGACACCAGACACAACCGGAGCCCCCCCACCACCACCACCACCACCACCACCACCACCACGTTCATTAATCATATTCCCATAAACGCGACAATAAAAAAAACCTTCGATACCCGGATCGAAACGGAACAAATCGGAACAGATCGCAACTCCATTCGTTGTGTGGAAATGTAATGAAGGTGACAGCTGGTCATCATCGTAGGAGTAGCATTCACAGTGGTATTCATCAGTGTCTGCTGTGTCCTTCCCGCCCTCTCGTGGGTGCTAGTACCAGCAGCGAGGGACATTTGCAAGTGTTTGGAAAGTTTCGCTTAATATTGTTGCATGTCACCCTCTAATTGGGGGGAGGGCCTGTCTGCTGTACCTCCTCTCGCTCCGCGATTCATATTTACAGCGAAGGCGTCCCAAGTTGCTGAATCTTTAATGAGGCACGAGAGGCGGTGGCGGTGACGGTGACGGTGCACAGTGAGTGTGGCAGTGGGGCACAAGGGTGAAGGCAATTACGAGGGCGCTCCCGGTGACTCGATTTATTAGGCGTTTTCGCAAAATGCAAAATTAATGCGAGTTTAACTCGACGATGGGCACGTTGATTGCTCGGTTATTTACTCAACGAATAGCAGCAGCAAAAGCAGCAGCAGCAGCAGCAGAAGAAAAGCCACGGCATTAAAGTGAAACTCACGCAAACTCCTCAACCCAATTCCCAATTCCGATTCAGAGTTTTGTTTTGGGGTCGTTTGCGGCACGCCCACTTCTATCAGCCACTGAATATCCCCCAATATCAATCACTGTCCTGAGGCTTTGATGCGTGTGTCGGCGGCTCCACCAAGTGTTGGCTGGTGGCTGGTGGCTGGTGCCTGGCGTTGCCTCTGCCAGTGGCATTTAACACGCGTTGCCATTCTGCTACCCTGCTACCCTGCTCTTCCCTTCACTCAAACGATTTCGATCTTGGCCCAAAGCATTATTAAATAAAAGTCTATCCATTGAATGGATCTCCATCGAGTTTTGCTGCATCACTGGGCTATGGCTGGGCCTGTCCTTTGTCGTGTTTCAACTAATTGCTGAAGTGTACATTGTATCTAGATAATGCCAGGGTGTATCTGGTTGTGGAGTGGAGTGGAGTTTACCTATAGATAGATGAGATGGGCGGTTTTGTGCACTCCAAGCAGTGGGCAGATTTACGCAGTTTCCTCTCTGTGAATCGTTTTAATCTGTAAGCAAAGTTTTGCTGCCAAGAGTCACAGATAAGATACAAATTGCATTCTCTGTTGGCTGTTGGCTGTTAGATGATATGCAACATGCAGATTGAATGAGGCAATCTTTATTTGCCCCAAAATTGGGTCAAGGGGGTTCATACGCAACGTAAACAAGCTGTGCAGTTCTTTTCTTTGGAGAATTGTGCGCAGTGTAGCATTGAACCATTTAGGTTCTTCCCATTTGATTATTTAGTGCTCCTCCACATGCTCCCACGCCCCTCTCCTGTTCTCCCGTTGCCCGTGCCCCATGCCACTGCACATGGAAATTTATGTGGCAAATGTGGGTCATGCATGTTATAGCCAGCCAGAAGGAGGGGGCAGGGAGCAGGGAGCAGGGAGCAGGGCAGCTGGGTAATTTACTTAAAGTTCGTTAAACGTGTGGCCAAGCCAAGCCAAGCCAAGCCAAGCAGCCACCAGAAGTGGCCACCAAGAAATGCGCATGCCTTGGCGTCCGTTACTCGGAGTCAATAAAAATCCACGAAAACAAAAAAAAAAACAAACAAACAAACATA